CTCAATACTGATGGCGGAGAGGCTGACATATACATTATACATATACAATGTAGGCCTTTGCGGATAATGCCGGCAGAAAAATTGGCAGAATTCGTTATTCGGTACTTTTTCTGATGCGTTTCATGCATGTTTGGTATGTGGATAAAGAAATGGAGCAGAATTCAAGGAATTGCCCGCCATAACTATGGCATAAGGTTTGTATGGTTCTGCCAATTTCACTGCTTTTCGAGCATTATCCGCCAATGCCTACTGTAATAATACATCTACATGTACATCTACATCTAAAAAATATTATACTTCAATGCATAGTTCCGTGAAAATATTGAAATACACTTGAAAGGGGATCTGCCGGAATGTGCATGATTGTGGCGGAATGACAATCATGTAGAATAGTACTAGTACTAGTACAAGACCGTCGTCATAGCTGTGTATGTCTGTGCACGAATGTGTTTTCAAACATACAGTACATTACTGGCTTCCAGGTGCATGATGCCTTGACCATGGTTGGACACCGTAACACGTACATGTAGATCTACTACAGGGCTGGCATCTGAAATCCGACCCCTGATCAGCTGATCGCACCGCTCAGGGAGTCGGATTTCAGTTGCCAGCCCTGTAGTACTAGTACTAGTCATGATGTGAATATGCAATCGTCATGTACATGTAGTGTAGGTCTACATGATTGTACACTTGTCATGGGTAGAACTGGACGAGGGGCAGGTCAGAACTGCCTTGTCGACGTCTAGGCCTCCTCAGAGACTTCCACAGACACTCCGCTTGCACGCCTTTGCCATACTTCACGCGTCTCTTCTGGACTTTCTCGTCCTATCATTTGGGCCCAGCCCGCTCACAGACAGCGAGCGCTGTGCAGACAGATCTGTGGTGGGACGACCTGCGTTGTAACGCGACACCTCACGTGATAGGTGAACCAGGTGGACACTGGATCTGACGAAAATACATGACTACATTGTACACAAACAGACTGGACACGAACATGTAAGTCGCAATCCACATCGTCAACGTCCCATTGTGGATGTACATGACTGTACAATGATCCTGGCTCTGTACTAACACAGAAGTCAGAAGAGGGTACTACTACTAGCAGGTTGAAGGAGACGGCTGGCCTCAGCTCTGAACGGTTCACGTTCAGGTTGACACTCACTGAAAGTCCGAGTTACAGCCTACCGACTACCGCTCTGCACTCTGACTTCTGTGTTGGAGAGCTCTTCCCCCGGGTATTCTAACGAGCGTGTTTTAGCAGTGGAAATCGCCTACACTACAGTACAGGGAATCGCTGTACAGGTAAAAGCAACTTTTAGCACGTAGTGCCGCACCGATACTGGCGATAGTATGATGGGAGTTCTGGCATGTGAAGTTACATGCGGTCACTGCCAGTACGAGATCATAACCGTTTTACACTCATGCGTAGACAGTCCACCTGTCCAGATGCGTTCAGTCATAGTACGGGTGTTTCTATCCTAGCCACCTGATCACCCATCACTGCCATCAGCCAACCAAGGTCAAGGACGTGTTGTACATATATGTAAGCACTAGTACTGTAGTAGTAGTTCAAAGCCAGGAGAAGGATCTCTACTCGCCATTCTCGCGCCTGCCACAAACAAAGTCCCACTCCCAGTGCTAAAAGTAGAAGGTTTGCGGGCGAGGATGAGCACGGCATTGACATGCACTCATACTCACACATACACGTTCGTGACGGAGTGCTGTGAGACGCGAGCATGTGAAGCAACAAACAACGGCCGCAGAGCTACATACATAAATCGCCAGAATACCGCAATGCACTAACAGCATCAGGGACTCAGGTGACGACAGGCTTGACTAAGTGCTGAGTGATCGTGATGGACACCCTTTACGGACACGATCTTGCGTTTTCACGGTGCGAAAACCCTCGCAGACAGGTGCATGGTTTCACACTGGAGACCACATGCAATGATACTGCTCGCGTGCTGATACTTCACGGCTCACGTCTGTCAAGCAGCACAGTGTGTCAGGGACCTTGTGCAAAAATAGAGGATAATCCGATAGAGAAAGGGCTAGGGGGAGAGAAGTGTAGATCTACCCACTGCAGAAATCTCAGACAGCTACTGAGTAGTCTTCGACAAATCAGAAACGAAGTCGAGAAGAGCAGAAAGCGAGACGTTTCGTGCAGCTTGTTTTCTCACGTATTCCTTCGCTCAAGATGGTATGTTACACGCCGAAGAGCAGACAGAAACATACACGGCCAATACACACCATGTCACACACACAATGCATACTCACCAATCGTAAACAGATACTAGATAGTGTTTTCAAGTGGATGACGAGCCCGAATTCCTCGCTAGGCATGTAGCCAGCACGCGCATGCACTCAAAACAGACTTCGAAATACATGCTGCTAATTATTATCACCCTGTCATGATGTCCTCCGCGAGCGCTCATTGGTCAGGTGTTTCGTGTACCTGACTCGCGTCACCAGTAAAACACGCTTGTGAAGTGTGGACAGACAACAATGAAAACAAGATAACTACATCTGGAGAACGCAGCACGTGTAGAATGCGAACCCCATGTGAATGACTATCGTCTGCAAAAAGCCAAAAACTCTGCGTTTCGGTCATTTTTCGATCAATGTCAGGGGCATGGTGCGACTGACGTACAGGGGAATTCTAGCAAGGCCGAATAGATGGGTTGCTATTTCCAATATTTGCCCGTGCGGCTCGCGGGCAAGCCAGGCCGCCTGTTTCCTCGGCGTCAGCAGGAAAATACGCCTGGAAAATCGCGGCCAGGACCCTAGGTTTCTCGGGTATCTCAAGTGGAGTCTATCGACAGCTAGCCTTGCGTTTGTTCAGATGCCTCGAAAACATCTCCTCCCCGGTACCTAGTATTACCCAGTGTGGCGGGCCACCTCTATCTAGTTCCACACATACCCTGTTGGTTGTCGACCGGGGAGGCCTGTGCCGAACCCAAGCCAGAAGTTTCATGTGTGTTTGATATTAATTTAGTGTTGGGTGATGACATGCAAGCGGCCCCAAGCCTAGAATACAATCATTATTTACATGTACAAGGCCGAGTGATGGTATCGCATGCATCTAAACTACAGCCAGAGAGAAGTTCCGGAGCTTCTGAAGAGTGAAGGAACCAACCCGACCATTGTGTTGTCACCGAAAGAATGCCCGATCGACTAGGCCTAGGGTGTGTTCTACATGACTTTGTATTCCTCGCGCAGCCCGATACGGGGTGATACATTAAACGACTTTGAAGTGTATCCTGGGGACTTTCTGGCTGAGGTCGATCAGCAAACGTGTGAAGGAGCGCCTTGGGGCGACGGCGTTGTGAACGCTCCGTTAGCGGTCTGGCAGGGTGGCTGGCGGTGCACGACAGATTTTAGCAGTTCTCTGGCACTTGGACTGTTGGAAAGCTGGGGATTGGTCTGTATAGCAATGAGCAATGTTCACACCAGCGTTTTTTCTTCCCCGCCATCATCCGGACCTCAGGCTAGCATGCACCCAGAAGATGATCAGTAGCCCTACACTTCATCACATACATGTACATAAAACAATAGCACGCGCACAGGATCGATCGCTCATGGACTGTTGCTACCGGCGCTCTGGTGCAGTATGTACCGGTATACAAAGTTACACAGTTACAAAACGAGTTTTTTTGCACAGACGTCGCTTCAAATGACCCATCAGTGGTCAAGTTAGTTAACGAATGGGAGGCAGCTGGTTGCAGCCACGTTTCACAAAATGAGTTTGATGCCGGTGGGATAAAGATGACTGCATGTAGATGTGTACCTGAAGGTTGTCGACTGGCGTTACTTTGTACAAGTACTCTCACTTCATGTACATCTATCTATCTCGCAGAAACAAAAAAATTCGTCTGGGTACTTGCCAAGAAATCCCACTTCGCTCGCTGAGCTAGATACGGGTGCTAGACACAGGCTGTGTGTATTCGTTCTAAGTAACTAGTTCTAAGTAGTCAGCGATGGTCCAAGTGATAGGAGTAGTATCAACACTACACTGTGGTACTGGGCACAGTGGTACTGATACTGATAGTGATTGCTTGAGTTCTAACCAATGCACGCCAGAAACTAATACAGAAACGAAACATACAATCATTTTTACAAGTCCTCTCCCAGCCAAGCGCACTCACAGCCGGCCGGTGATGTATCGCAGTTGATGGCTATAGAGCTAATACTAGTAGATCCAAAATACGCTTTTCTCCTCCTTCCGACGTACATGTACATGCTAAAACAGTTTTCGCCTGCTGCTGCGAACATGCAGCAGCAACTACTTGTACACGCATTCCCGCACCTGGCACCGAGGCTCTACAAGCCCGAGTAACATCACATCGACCGAAATTGGTATCACAGCCGCTGGCCGCATCATTGGGTTTCGCGTTTTTTCCTTCGCCATCTCTCGGTATCCACCATACCGTGTCCTTGGCGTCAGATCCATTGGAAAAACACACCGTGGCGTTTTACCGGTGTAAGTCCATGCCCGGGCTAGCTGACGATTCGAGCTTGCGTAATGAGCAGGCAAGTGCAGCTTGTTAGTGGTTTGCCTTGGGGGAGGTGGTACATGGTGGTGGTGGTGGTGGTGGTGGTGGTGGTGGTGGTGGTAGGAGAGATGGCTGTAGATCTACACCCTGCAAAAGGTCACAGCTTCACTCATCCACAAAGGACACACTTTCATACCGAGCAACATCACACCAGCGCAGTGCAATGCATGTTCTGCAAACCTGCGACAGTGGCCTGCAAAACATGGCTGGCCTGTGAATGCGCGAGCGCGTGAAGCTTGTTACGTACACGCTGGTTAGCGTATACATAATGAGCGGGCAGTGTACACGTGTCGTGAATACCGTGATGGTGCAGAAACACACAGCGATATGTATCTGCGCGAGCAACGATCATCCACACTGCTAGACCTCCTCGCACAGGCTCAACGTCTGGTGGAGTCATAATGGTTATGCCATGGTGCTAGCTGCTGCATGCTGCTGATCCCTGCTTCGGCTGCCCGTCTGTTGCGAACCGTGTATCATGTGTATGGTGTGACCCGTGTCTGCTGTCTGCTGAAAAGGTGAGAGTCACACTGCATGTACTAACTAACTACTGTCAGGCCGCGATCCGTAGCACAGAAGTTTTGCCCGTCACACTTTACAGATTAGCACTCTGGACTGGAGTGGAGTAGCCGTCACATGCACACGGTGTGTATGTGTGTGTATGTGTGTTTGTGCTGGACACCCATCCAGCCAACTCACTGGCTGGACCCAATGGGCTGCCCGCACGCGCTTTCATTTCAAGACGGTAGTAACACAGATAGAGTATCAGGCACTTTGCAGCAAGCACATACACAGGAAAAACTCAGTTTACCTGTGATACCGTTCAGGCTGCAAGAGATTTTTTTCCTCTCGTCCTCTGTCGAAGTCCGTCCACCTTTACGTAAAGTGGATGAGCTGGCGTTAGCAGGCGTTCTGCGTTCAAGGGTGAAGGTTTGTGTGGTGCTTAGTTCATTGGGAGAATTATTTTTCTCGGAGCCTTCAACTTCAAGTCTCTGGCAGGTAGCCACGGAGTCGCCCAGTCCGTCAATGAGTTGGACGGCTTGATGTATGCGACGCCAGTGCAGGTTGTACTGTTGTAGGGTGGTTGAAGTACATCACTACATGTGAGCGTGACCGTGTATGTGTGAGATAGTACTACTACAGTAGCACGCGTGCGCGGGCCAGCCACACAACAGCTTGTCCTTTGTAGCTGGTGAATCCCCTCCACCATCTGGTATATGGCCATCAGCGATTTCGAGTGTCGTGTCCGCACTCCATCTGCCGGTGCAGGCAAGCGACACATGGACGAATGTTCTCAAGGTCCTCCTCAGCGGCCCACGTCCAACCGAGCCACCTCCTCCGCTACTGCTGACGAAGACGCGGAAGTGGACGTGGTCGGAGAGACTCGTCCCGGCCAAATCCAGTCCCAACAGCTTTTCATCACCCAGACGTGTGCAGTCGCCTCGAGCGATCCGTTGCCGTCCTCATCATCGTCCTCAATGACTGCCGTCCATCATCATCAACAGCAGCATCAACTATCGCCAGCTGCAGCAGCTCCAGGTAATCCAGCGCTCTGGTCCGTGCCGTGGGTGCAACAGGGCGCTCCTTCTTTCGTCGCTCACCCCAAGGTGCCAATGGCACCTGCAGTCTCGGCAACGTTCGTACCTTCCGCTGGGCCCCAGCCAGCCACGGGGTTCGCCCAACACACTCCATCACAGGCTCCCATCGTCGCCGCAGGAACACTGTTGCACAACCCAGTGTCCGCACCACCCCAACCCTGGACCGGGTATCCAACGGTTGTCCCTTGGCCAGCCGCGGCGCCTCATCCCGCTGCTTCGGGAGGCTTCCCGGCCCAGGCAGCCGGAGTATGGCCCACCACCATCCGCGTACCCATGCCCGGCTACGCGTTCCTGCCCAGTCCGGGCGATTCGACCGGGAGCAGCGCCCGGACCCCGACCGGGGGCCACCACCTAATACAGGTGCAGCAAGCACAGCAGCAAGCGCCCCCTCCTCCTCAGCATCAGCAGCATCCATCATTGGCAACGCCAGCTCAGACACCATTTAGTCCCGGTCATGCTACCAACAGCAGTGCTACGTATATTTATCAAGGTCCCGTCGCTGCACCATCAACCAACCAGCAAAACGCCCGCATAATCCAAACCTCTATCAGCCATGGAGAAAAGGACGAGGCTACGGACAATGAAGAGGACCAGCGCAATGCCAAAATGATAATGCCAGTGGGTCCGCACCGAGGTGGAGATTCCCGAAGCTCTTCGGCCGAGTACTTGCACCCCGTTGCCATACAGCCACCGTATATGTTTTCGTCGAACGAACGCAACATGACGTCGCCCACTGCTACCAGCAATCCTAGCATCGAGAGCTCAAGAAGTGATCAGAGCCAGCAGGACTATCGCAAGCGGATGGTTGAGAAGTGGCAGAAGCCGCGGCCGTCTTCGGACACCGGTGCGGTCACCAGTGCCAGCATTCCTCGACAGTCCCACCACACGGGTAAAAACCTCATCCTTGCAACTGGTCGACAGCAACAGCAGCATCCATTGCCAATGGCGGCAGCTACAGGACAGCCGCCGTCGGCAGGGTCGGCGGCTGCAACGGCAACGCAACATCAACTCAGCCCAGTGGTCATGTTCAGTCCGGGCAACCCGAACGCAATGGTGCCCTGCACCCTGCAGAACACCATGGCAACGCTGCAGCCAATGACCGGTCTCGGTGCCGCGCAGTACACTACATCGACGCTGTCCGCCCGGTTGGTCGCCGCGGCATCGGCCAGCCTTCCCACCAGAGTCTCAATGAAGTCCGTCCGTCAGCCTATACTCCCTGGTCCGCCGAAGAGCACGGGCGGAACACTAAGGTTACCGTTCACAATTGAGAAACCGACATCGCCTGAACGGACCAGGTGCTCCATTTGCGGTACGCTGGCGTGTGGGTCAAGATCTGCGCTAACAAATCGGTGAGTCTCCTGTAAATCATACATTGTGTATGGACATGTACAGGCATGCCCAATATAATGTGTTTCAGTGACTGCATGTTGCAGGGTTGACACTACAGCCTTGATTGAGGTTCATACCTGTTGTGCTTAAGCTAATCAGCTTAATGTATCGTGGGCGGAAATACACGGTGTTCCAAAACTCCCTTTTTAGCAGGGAAACCATCCAAGTTTCTGAGTCAATGGAACACCATTGATGGTGAAAATGGTGAAAATTCACAGTGCAGAATTGATGCTAAAGTGACCTGTATAGCTGATCGTACCTTGCAGTCCATATTGGCCATGTAATGCAACCAGTTTCTCAACCATCTGCACTGTTAGCACGCTTCAATAAGCGGCAGAGAATTGTCACTAATACGCGCACCGAAAAGACAAACCATCACGCGTCATCTGCTGTAACGTCCCACTGCAATGTCCGACATGTGTGTAACTTGGGCTTGTAAGAGGGAGCACCTCAAGTGGTTGGCAATGTGTTGGCCCATGATACAAGCCCCTTGGAGGATGTGACTTTGTTTTTACCCGTCAAGCATGTATGGGAACCCAGAGGAAGATGCAGTGTTGCTGCATAGAGCAGATTTGGTGCCTTGTGCAGGAAGGGCAGCCTTTGCATGCAGGCAACACGGACCTCGCCAGTTCATAAAAACAGGCATTTCTCAGGTCTTATTAGCCAATCTCAGTTCTGCCAGAACAGAGCCTTAGAGGGGTTGTCCTGTGCAGGGCCTGTAATTGTAGTCAAGTGGTTTGACAGGAGACTGCAGGCTGGTAGCCCAGTGCAGTTGCCAGGTGTGGAGAGGTCTCTTGCTTCAGCCATGCATTAGTACTCTGGCCATCCAGCAGCCTGGCCGAGTAGGCTGCTGGCGCACTTGAGAACTGGTGACAAGCTGGTATTTGGGCATGGGGTAGCGATGCAGCCAGTCATCAAACTTCACTCCTCCCTGTTATAATATTATGTGACTGCAGCAGCTCTGAAGAACTCCATTCCCATGTCAAGTGACAGAACATTACAGGGCATTCCCGTGCCACCAGCACTTCACTGGCACAATGCTTGCGTTGGCTGGATGAAAATACAGAAGGATGTATTGTTTTATTGATGTTTGATTGGGCACTTTCTTCTGGCTTCGTGGCTGCAGCAAGACAGAGTGCATGAAACGGTAAATGATCCGGTCGTAATGCTCCTGGAAGTGTAACCGTACCGTACGGTGGGACGGACCCACTCGCAATGATAATTTAAATTGGGTACTAGTATCTGTTCATCTCTAGAGGCCACCTGTACGTGTTAGTGTAGTTATGGAGTGTAATTACGGAGACTATGTTCCTGCTACCACTTTTTTCTAAGCCGTGATGTACATGCATTGTGGGCAGAGCTTCCGAGTCGAAATTGAAGCGAGCGTACATCCTTGATCTTCGATGGGCTCGATGGTTTTGTTGCTAATATACATGTGCCCGTGCATGTCTCAGTGTGTATCTGTACACGCATAAGAAAGACTGGGGTAGGAAACTGCCATAGGAAGAGTGATAAACTAGCAGCTTGTTTAGGCATGTCTGGTACCTGCGCACGGTGAGAAGTGAGTATCGGTAGTGTACCTAGTATGGTGAAGGAGCATCCTAGACAGCCGTGCTGCTGACAAGCCAATTCACCGCATCTATCTGCTTCGATAAAGCCCCCCCCCCCCTCTCTCTCGCCATCATCAAGGGAGTGCTCAGTATCTTGTCACCAGTCTGAGGCACAGCACAAGGGAACATCAGACTAGATATCTGTCACACATAGTGTCTGCGTAAACCAAGTGACCAAGATGATGGCTAAAACAACGGCCAGGTGAGGCCAGCACCTGTCTTATGGCCAGCAAGGCATGTGCAGCATGCCACCAACACATTTCTACGTGACTTCACTTGGTGTCTCTAATGAGCTAAGCGACATGCTATGCGTGTAAGTTGTGCTAGCTTGTAGCCTGATTTCTTGGAGCGTTTGGGATATGCCCTGGGCTGTCTATGGTGCCCTGGCATAACCAAAACTCCCAGGGGGAATCTATCTGTTCGCTGATTGGCTAATGCTTAACCCTGGAAAGCACCTTGGTCTTGTTCACGGTGTAAACATGGTTGCACTGCTGCTGGGCGGTGGTACCAGGGAAGCGTTGAAGGTTGCTTTCAACGAACTTTACCGGTTGTGCCTGGCATACACAGCCTATGATTGCACAGGGCCAACGGTGTGACAAACTCAGTCTGTCCTGTTTGATTGCATTGGGCCCTGGAGGTGCGTGTGCTAAACCATTCGTGTACGTGTAGCTGCATTCTGCTCGTGACTGACAGAAGGCCGTTTGCAGTTTGCACGCCACGTCACGTGTTTCAAGTGGCAAAACCCAGTCAGGCATGCAGATGTGTGAAGAGCTTGCTAGGCAGGTTGCGCCCGGGAAACTAATGAAAACTAGAAACCAGCACGGTTGACTAGCAATCATCCATCCAAAACTAGATGTGTCAGTGAACCCAAAGCCGCCAGAGAGATTTAAAGTATTTGCATAAGGCCACACTCAGCATGGAGCTCCAATGCTGGGTAGTGCCTAGATCATAGTTTCAGTAGACCTACAATCCCCCCCCCCACCACCACCCAAATTCACCCACCCAAACACACACACACACACACACACACCCAAACACATACACACACACACACACACACACACACACACACACACACACACAAACACACACACACACACACAGTGAAGATGCTGTCACCAGGGTACTATGCATAACAACATGCTAATTGCAAGGTCAACAGCTAGCTAGCCTGATCATTGTCTAGTCGAGTAAGTGCTGCAGGGAGTAGCAAGATGCTTGCCGTATGCTTGCGCTGATTATTTTCTCGAACCTGACAGGACTTATCTGCATAAGTCCATATTTCTGGGAAGCCAACCCCTTGATGAGACACCTGCATATCCTAATCAAGTGCATTCCAGGCCATGTTTCTGATGAAGCCAGGCACAGCTCATTTCGCAGCAGACCTGTAGTGCCCCTCGTGTTCTCTGTGTACAGAAACAGCAATTATTTCAGTTAATTCCCAGGCTGTTTTCCTGTTAGCCATGACAGATCATAAGGATAGTGTCACGCGGCCTGTTGCGGCATATCTCCCTCTCTTTGCCGCTTACATGCATGCTACAGTGCTGAACTGAGAGGGGCTGACGATTCTGACTACCACTGAAGTCCAGGCGTGTCGGTTCCCATGCTATGACTGCACGGGGCTTGGGTTGACGATTGTGACTTTGGATGAGGTCTGGCCATGTTCGTTCCCCTGTCACTCTGTCAGCACCACGAAAAGACGGTGAACACTGGAGTTATCACCAGTTATCAGCCACGGCTGGTGGCCGGTACACAGCATGTCTCACAGCACCAAACTCAGATAGGGCCATACGAACATAGACTACAGGAAAGGGTTATCTCGCGGGAAAGAAAGTGACTTCCTTCAACAATGCTTCTGTGTACATGTACATGTATGTTTGCACGGAGTACTTTCCCCGCTGTCAACTGGTATCAGTGCGTTGATCGGAACGACAAGGAGAAGTCAGCATGTTACTTTTCACAGGCACTGAGAATATCAGCATGACGTGAAGGGCAGCTGCAGTTAATCGTAGTAGTACATGGCGTCACTCAGGCTGCTCAGTCTGTATTTCTTTCCAAAATAGCACTGACGTCGATTTTTCCGTGCAACATTATTATTCGCTCGGGTTTGAGGTTTATGAAGAGCGTCTTATCCTGTTCTCCCCCCCCCCCCTCCCGCCCTGCCAATAGCATGAAGAAGAAATTGGACAAGTTGATGAAAACTCAAATCAAAAGTACACTGGAGCACGCTACTTGATTACGTAAAACTCAAAAAACAGTAGCAACTTCAATGGTAATCAGCCAGAAAAGTGTTTGAAGTTTCTCCCAATCCCTTAAGATGTCAATGGCGACCCACACCAACAACAAATTTTGGCTTTTTTGCCTATTACGTGTCAGTCAATTTGGCAGAGAGTGTGCATTACACGTTGGGAGCAGGCAATTTCAATGATTGCTCGTTGATTTCGTAGTGAAGTTGGTTGATTCCACCTACATGTACATGCAATGAGCTATCATACTTCTAAGAGCCATAAAAACTTACAGGTATGCGTCTTTAGAAGTGCTTGGTACTGGCATTCCTCCAGGAGATTCGAGGCTTACAATTCTTGCGATATCATCAACGTGACAATGGAACTTGAAAACCTGCAGAGCTGACTGATATTCTCATGATAACTATTGCCTACAGGAAATGGGTTATAACTTATAACCCAATGCCAAGGATAAACTTCATTAGAGGCGATGGTCAGCCTAATCTGATCTCTTGAAAACTCACTAAATGTATTGTATCAGTCTTGCCATGGGCGAAGGCAATTACTTTGCCTGAGCACGTGTTCAGGGCCACTGGGCATAGAACAAGAAAGGCAATTTGGCAAAGTCGCCAGGGGCGTTTTCAGATTGGCCGGAGATTCGAAATTAGACTGGCTCTTGGTGCTCTGCGTCACTGATAGTGGAGTTGCCATAGTTATGGTTGTGCACTTTGCACTGATCAGTTTGCTCCAGGCTGCAGGAACATCGCATTCTCGCCTGGAAATTCCTGTGCTCAGCACTTATGAAGGCCCTGCAGTATCGTGTTTGTGCAGTTTCTGGTCTGGGGCATGGGTGTACACGAACATGAAGACAATGCTCATAGAACCACCCTGCCTTTCACTTGCAAGTACAGTGCGCCTGATTTCTAGCGAAGACACTGCAAGATGGCTATGCCTTCTAGCATTTTTTAATTGTAGCTACAAGTACATTGCTATTCGAATGGCTCTGACTTGATTTTGGCTTCTCACTGCCAGAGGTATCCCCACTGTAACTAGCTCATCAAGGTCTTGTGTATCGTGCGGTGTATTGGCCCACTGTCATCATTAAGCCATAGGACCCCGTACTTTCTGTCTTGTAGCCGTGGGGATCATCACCTTGTTCATGGTTTCTTGTTTGGCAACATCGTGCAAGATGCTACAGTGGTGTGCACTGCCAGTCGTTATGTTAGCGGGGGCAATTGTTCCAAACTTACGCGTTACTGCCGAGTGCTGGCCTGCAGGAAGCTGAAAATGAACAATCTAGATGTGTGTGTGTGTGTGTGTGTGTGTGTGTGTGTGTGTGTGTGTGTGTGTGTGTGTGTGTGTGTGCAATTAATTATTTGCAAGCCGTCATCGGCATGTAACTTGTGGCATGTCGAACAACTAGCAGCTTCCTGATCTCACTGTGGGTAGAGCTCACCTACTTGATCCGGCAGTGATACAGGCCCTTAGAAACTACAGTCGAAACCTTGCTATACCGCTGGGCATGATCTTGCCGAGAGTCATTTTGTGACTATGCATATACATGGACTGCAGGAACCCAGTGAGGATTACATTCACAATCCAATCCTGTATGCAGAACACTAATAGCGGCTTTCCAGACACTGCAAAGTTCCAGCAGATGACAGCGGAGGGGCATCAGAAGGTATTCTCCATTGCTGGGACTATCAAAAGGCGGGTGGTGGGAAAGTTTAGGGGATTGGGCCCAAACAGCCCATATCCAAAAAGTCATTGCTTCAAAACCACAGGATAGAATTATCGGTGCGGCTTTGGCCTGGCTGAATCTGCCGCACCGCTTCCGACGCCCCTCGATGATCCAGCCAACTGTGGTGTTTTTCATGACAAGGTCATGGCGGATATGATTATATGTCTGGGTCCGAGGGTCCAGCGACCTGGGGCCGTTTGCATGCATCTGCACAGTAAATTCTTGGAACATAGGCGTGCAGAGTCGGATTTGAATCGCTCGCACTACCACTCGCTGCCTTCAGAATTCGCTGTACGTGCTAAGGGCCTGAATCAGCCGTACGATCTCACCACTCGAAGACCTGGAGAAGAGTACGGGGAGATTACCATTTTATTAAGTTTGCTAGAAGGCCGCATGACTCGTGCAGCTGAGTGCAGAACATGCCCTTGGGCCGTGACTGTGTTGCTGGGGGAAATACAAGGAACTCATTGCGGTAATAGTACAATCAGCATGACAATTACTTGGTATCAAATTACATTCAGCACATCAATTACATGCCTCCGCCCACACAGATTTTCTATCGGCCAGTGGTGTGCCTGGGTAGGGTATTCAAGTAGCTAATGACCGCAATCACACAGCACAGGGACCACCCGGTGTGAAGTCTTGTGTCAGCAAATACAAATAGTCATCCGTTTACTCCATGTAATTGCCGTGAAATACATGTACATAGCTGGTGAATAATTCAATAAGATACAGGAGTATTGAGCGGGCAGAGCAAAGGTAAAAGGCAAGTGATAAAATGATGGAGAATTCTTGGACCGATTGCTGTCATCTATTGGTGGTACACGCCCTGTGCATGTACACAGTGATGTATGCTGGTGTCGGCCATTGGGCGGTTCAATAGCCAGTTGCGTCATCTTTCCAAGATTCCTTTCGAGTCGCTCTACCCTCTCCCGGGAGATCCACGTGACCCATTTTTGGCAGGGAGCAAGCATGTGTGTGTGTGTGTGTGTGCGTATGTGTGTGTGTGTGTGTAGCATGCTTCTTGTTCGTTTGGAAACCCGGCCAGCATATTCTGTTCGCCGAGGCAGGATATTGGTTGCATGTTCTATAGCTGTATAGTATTTAGGAGTCGTAGCACTTCACAGGCACGGCTTGTGTGCAGCTGTTTGATATCTACTGATCTAATTGGTGAAGGGTGTTACACTCTCCCATGTGTGGACTGAAAGCAATCGAAACGGAACCTGTGACAATATTTCGAAAAAGCGCAAAAAAATATGTTTCATGGAAGGAAAGCATTGCCCAAGTTACGAAGTAATAGTTCTAGATTTGTATACTTCAGTATTTGGTCATGTCTAGAACTACATCTAGATGACTAGTGCCTTCCAGCTCGATGGGAGATCAATATATTTTAAAAATCTACAATGAGAGCCTTTGACACTGAATTCTCACATCAACTGGCATTTGAGTACGTATCACATGCTGAGCTCACCACCTGTACAGATTGGACTCGGCTGGGCCGGGGTCATTTCCTCAGTATCGAATAACTTGTCGGCGGCTCACATCCTGCTTCTGATTGGAGAAATTGTCTCCTTCCTGTCTACTGACCTGGGTCTAGGTAACGCAGCTTTATGTTGTTGCAGTCCATTGATGGCAATCAGGTATCCTGTGTGAACTTTTAAAGAGCTAAACTGCTAACTCATCCTTGTTTCTTCGTTTCTTGTTTGCGGCTTGGCGTGCGTGCTGGGTGTGCGTGTATTTTCTTGTGTGTGTGTGTGTGTGTGTGTATTGTTTATATATTACAGGAGTGGACCGCCGCGTCGCCACTACTTCTCATGCAAGGTGGCTCGCCGGCGACTGCAGGAGTGGATGGACAGCCACCAGGACCACCCGTACCCGACCAAGTCGGAGCGCGCCCAGCTGCTCAAGGAGACGGGCATGAGCCGCGTGCAGCTGCAGAACTGGTTCGGCAATCACCGTCGCCGGCTCAAGTCACAGCGCCTGCACGACGGCACTTCGCCGCACGACTCCAAGGACTGCCAGTCCGACGGCTGGCACGGCATGGGAGACAGTGACGACGACTCTGACATGGAAGTGATGGCGGACAATGAATGCGAGGATGATGAGGGTGTGGAGATGATCTAGGTTCTCTACCATTGTACCTACCCAGGCCATGGTTGTTGAATCGGTGGCAAGGAAGACCTGCCTGGAAGGTGGAATGAGCTACAAAAGATATTCACAGGATGTACCAATAGTGCTGGTGGACTCGTTTGGCTTCGCACCAAACCAAGTAGATGTGTTTCAGTTTGGAAGTGATCAATTAGGATGATACTGTGCAGCAGCCCAGCTGTGTGCACACTAGTGCATGGGCCCTATTTGGTGTCTTTGACCTTCTAGGACTCCATATTTAAATACCATCTCTCTCTGTCTCTCTCTTACTCTCTGTCTGTCTGTACGTCTGTCTGTCTCTGTCTGTCTGTCTGTCTCTCCCACTGTCTGGCTCTCTCTCTGTCTCTCTCTTACTCTCTGTCTGTCTGTACGTCTGTCTGTCTCTGTCTGTCTGTCTGTCTCTCCCACTGTCTGGCTCTCTCTCTCTGTCTCTCTCTCTCTCTGTCTGTCTCTCTCTCTCTCTCTCTCTCTCTCTCTCTCTCTCTCTCTCTCTCTCCAAAGTTTGTCCTTGTCGATCAGTCATTGGCAGAACATTTTCTATTTTATGATAATAGGTTGAGGACTGGGTTGAGGCATATCTCTCTAGCACGAGTCTGACAAATAATCTCCAAGTGGCTCAAGACTCGAGAAGAGTTAAATTGGAGTGGCACACGTAAAGTTCGTGCGGTATGTCCCTACCAGTCCCTTTCTTTTTCTCTCCTTTTTAATTTTATGAGACTATACTGTTTTTGAAGTAATCTATTCCATCTGCCATGCAAGATGTTACCTGATACCTAGTATTTTGAATGCTTTTTTCCTCTTTTTTAAAAACAGTAGTAAGCTTTCTTGGGCTTTCCTGAGCAGACTAGCACTAACGTGGTTCATAATTATAGATAGTAGGAACGCTGGTCTATTCTCTAGTGCCACTGCCACGCTCACGGTGCACATCTTGACCAGTTTTTTTTTAACTGCACCGTCTTTGTTCTTTTGTCTGGCCGTACATACGTCCACTCAACAATACACACAATAGATACATGCATGTACAGCCAGACCGTGGCTTCATACTGACTTTGAGGACAAGTCGTTGCTGGTGCCGCTGCTAGGCCGACTTTCCTAGTTATTCTAGCATTAGAATAGCTGCCCCTGAAATGTTACTTCGATTTTTCCTCCGGATTCAAAGACCATACTGCTGCACCTAGTACCTGAAGGGAGATACTTTGGAATTGCTTTTAGAGATCTCTGCAGGTTCTCATCTCCGCGGTGTTCGGTGAGCACCATCCAAGGCAGATAGAGCCGTTTTCGTGAGCCTGTTCCAACTTGTGCATGCTCATATCAGCGACATCTCTGGACTGGGGCGGGTCAGAAGGTGAAGACCGCACACTCTGTCTTGGCCAGTATTATTATTCTTTATTTCCATGATGGACCAGGGGCGTCGGACACGGTACGGTCACTATGGTATTGACCGTACCACGTTTCGCCCAAAGTACCCCATGAACCAATATAATACACTGATCTGGACTCTAAATTTCCAACAAATTCGGCTTAGCCACCCCTCCTCCACGAGTAACTTTATCTTCAGATGGCTGACCGTACCACACTAAAATACCTTCCGACGCCCCTGACGATGGCCCATGGCCAATATTAAAGGAAGGTATTATGGTCTCGTGCTGTCCCCTTAATGCAGGGCCGTAGCACCCGGCCCGTACACTCGCGCCAGTTGCCAGGGGCCAGTTGGGCCATGACCTGTTAAATATGGGCAATTGGTTCCAAAGCAGTTCCAAAGGGGAGGGGTGCCCCCCTCCTCTTCTTGGCCGCACTATGGCCAATGTGGAATACAAAGGTCCAGCGCTGATGTAGAGCTTCCGTAACTTTTTGTAAGCAGACCACTAACTGTGCCCATTGCTAGATGCATTTGAGCAACTAAGTTCAACTCTTAAATTGTGATTCGGCGGCGACTCTAGTAGGCTAACATGTACCGTCGGCGGCAGTCCGTCGGCGGCTACTGTAAAGCGTGAAATTTTCGCGGCGTTTTTAGTTCGCGTCTTCAGAATCCGGACAGGTTTGCGAGGTTTTAATTTTGCGATTGCAGAATGGCATTCTTGCTAAACCTTTCATGGATCTCCTTTTCGCGCTGTCTAAATTTCGCGATTTCCACGCGGTCGCGAATTTCTCAGAAATTAGACCATGGCAATAATTTCACGGTTTACAGTATATCATCCACATGATGCATGTAACCATTTGCCGCTTGCGGCACTGGTATCCGTGTACAGCTACACCGAGCTTTCCCCACCGCGGCACTGGTGTCCGTGTACAGCTACACCGAGCTTTCCCCGCCATGGCACTGGTATCCGTATACAGCTACACCGAGCTTTCCCCGCCATGGCACTGGTATCCGTGTACAGCTAAACCGAGCTTTCCCCGCCATGGCACTGCCGGTATCCGTCACGGTACAGCTACACCGAGCTTTCCCCGCCACGGCCCGGCGTGACCCGCCTGTCCGGAACAAAGTTTAGTTCCGTAAGTTGCTCTTCTCCGCAAGAGTAACTGTCGAGAACGGTAGGGGAAGACAGACTCATCAGACTCATTCTCATACCACAGTTTCCTTTCTAAAAACTTCACCTTCAACCATAATCCAAACTTGCCAACCACCCCCTATGTGTGTGTGTGCGTGCATCATGCAAGCGCGGATCATGCGGAATGCAATGATGCAACTACAAGAAAACAAATCTCGGCAGCTAGCAACGAGTGCATTCAGAGAAGAAGAAAACAAGTTCAGATGTAAGTAGTTTGTGATGAGCAGCAGAGACAAACATGCAGGAGAGTATAATTATATGATGAGATGGAGGCGACATTGGGAATACTCGGATTCACAATGTACGCGTGCCATCAGCTGGGTAATCAGAGTCGTCGTTGGACATCGTAAGTCCCAACTCAAATGTATTTGGAATATGATAATAAAATGTTATGGCAAGTTGGACTGTCTGTTGATTAATTACGATATGATCATGCAATGCGGGAGTCTATACTTGCAACTTCAAATTGATATGAAGTAGTCTTCATGATGTGGTGACATTCATGACAGTAACATGGGCTTATGAACTCTTGTTATCACTGAATCATGGGATTACTAACTCCGTATGGCTTGCAGTCACGCAGCACACAACAGTCTCCAGTCAGTACCTTTCATGCTGCAGTTCAGAATGGCACTCGTCCCGGTTTTATTTGTACATATTGAAGATCCAGTCAGCCTCCGATCGCCGGATTCTCCGAGGTTCCAGCCTCCACTCCACCGAGTTCCATCCATTTTACATTCAGTTGTCGAATTGTTGCTATCCGCCTCACCAAGAGTACATAATGTACTCTTGGCCTTACAATACACGTGTACATGTAAAAGACCAAGGCAAGAGTATACAATACAAATTCATGCACGGTATAAGCGTGCCTTGCATTGGCCATGACGTAAAAACAGTCTCTAAAGCAGCTGAATAATAATATTGTTGACGACTGATTACGTCATCATGGTTGACTTGGCAATTGGAGGTTACGTGACGTGTGCAAAGGTGTGACAGCTACGTACTTGTAGTACTACTAGTACAGAACACGTACAACAGAACATTATAAAAAATAAAAAATTATTAATTTTGAAAATACTGCCCTTGTCCTTACGTCTTTGCTTGGGGCTAGCTGTTTGAATGGCAGTGTGACCGAGCAAACTCGCTCTGAAACATGGGATCATCGTTCAGTTTGGAAGAGGCCGCTGTGTCCAAGATTCGGTCATTTGACTGCAGCAGAAATGTGTCGTTCGAGGAGTATTTGGAGGTAAAGCCCGAGTCCATGACACATTGCTATTGATCACATACATCGTACATCATGATTGTTACCGTGTCCGATGCATCCACGTAATACACAGGACCAATTGCTGTTAGAATAGGGAGGTTTAGCACTACGTAAGAACGTAGCGTATCTGGCCTACTACGTTTCCCGACAAAATCACAACGCAGCATGTAACCGTTTCGAACGTAACAAGGCTGTCACCTGCGTTCTGCCAGAACGCTACGCATCTACACACTCCGAGTTGCAGTTTGCAGTCCGCCATTTTATCCCCATGGATACAGGCGACAACGCTGTGCTAAAACGAATCACAAAAATGTTTCCAACGTAACACTCGCGCCACTCGGATCCGTTACGTTTTTACGTAGTGCTAAACCTCCCTAATGCTTACTGTAAACCCCCTAATTTTAGCGATTTCTAATTGTCGACGTTTTAGCGACCTTTTATTTTAGCGATCGGAGTAGACATTGTATGTATGTATGTACAGTCGTCCCTCTCTAATCCGGCACTTTATAATCCAGCACCCTCGATAAACCGGCACAATTTTCAGTAGCCAAATGTCCTCTTCATGCACATTGCAGCAGTACATCAGATTTGTTAATCCAGCACCCTCCCTAATCCAGCAGATTTTCGTGGCACAAATGGTGCCGGATTATAGAGGGACCACTGTATGTATATTTTTATTTGAATACGCAAGTACACACGGGCTACAAGCCCAATTACATGGAAGCGAATGCCATAATGAGGCCAATTAAGAAAAAAAAGGTGGAGGAAGGAGGAGGACGGTAGCAAAGCAACAGGGAGGACAATTCAGGACCAAAATCAACAATTGCACAAATGTGAGAGCACCTGAGACCGAGGGTACCTGTGGAGCGATAAAATGCCAAGCAAACAGAAGAAAGGAAATCACAAGCCAATACACGCTAAACTGCACTTGAGTTAGAATGAAGGGGAAAACCGGAGCTCAACAAAATTATAACGTACAAAGTCATAATAAGAAGTCAACTGGATGAGAAGTAGCACAAGCAAACATTTCCTGACAACGAGAGGGGCTGTAACTACAGCCACAGCAGTAGCTGCTGTAGCAGCAGCAGCAGCAGCAACAACAACAACAACAACAACAACATCAACAACATCAACAACAGCAACAACAACAACAACAACAACAACAACAGCAACAGCAGCAGCGCCGTGCAGACTACTCCAAGGGGAGTATGGGACTGTGAACACAAAAGGCGGGAGAATTCACGGAGTTTGCAGATCTAGCCCGCCAGCGTGAAGGGCAGTGCAGCTACGGCGAATTCACTGGGACGATTGAGTAGGCGAACTTCGCTGGGGAGGGTGTTCCAGAGGATGGCACCACAGTGCGATGTACGGGATGTCCCTGCTGCTGACCGGGCTAGCGGCAGGCGCAAACCCTGTCCTTGCTGGAGGCGGGTGGTGTTTCCATGAGCACTTCGAAACTTGTCCTGGAGGGCTGGGCTGGCTCGATTGTGCTGGCAACGCCACACAAACCTCAGCATCTTCTGCTTGTGCAGCTCCTGAATGCTGTAGAGCTGCAAGCTGGTCAGGAGGGGTTGAGCATGAGAGCGGGGTGGCTGGCCAAACACTGCCCTGGCAGCTCGGTTCTGGAGAACTTGCAAGCGAGAGACTTGCTCCTGTCGCAGGCAGGCGAAAAATGCTGTCGACCCGTATAGCAGATCAGGCATGATGATGGACTTCATGAACTGTGTACGGGCCTTCAGACTTAATGCTCGCCTAGATCGCCAGAGCGCCCCGATCTTCTGAGCTACTTTCTTGGCGATGCTGTCCACGTGTTTCTGCCAGTTGAGGGAGCTGTCGAGCAGAACTCCGAGGTACTTCGCAGTGCTTGCTGCTGGCAAACTAGTCCCATTGCAATTTACAGGAATGGCTTCACTGTGCATGCTCAGGACTTGGCTCTTCGAGGAGTTCAGGATGAGGTTGCGATCCTCTAGCCAGTCAGCCACTGCAGATACTGCCCGGGTAAGCGTCGCGGAGCATTCAGTAGGCAGCCGGCGGCTGAAGTACAAGCCAATATCATCCGCAAACTGTACTGTGGGCACGTCACCAGCAACCTCTGGTATGCCGCGCGTGTATACACTGAACAAGATTGGTCCTAAAACGGATCCCTGTGGAACACCGCATGTGCATGCATTACAGGGTCCGTCCTGGGTTCCAATGCGCACTTGCTGGGTTCGATGGCTGACATAGTTGGCAAACCAACTTAATGCCGTTCCAGAAACGCCAATGTCGAACAAGTCCTGCAGCAGCGTAGGGTGACTGACTTTGTCAAACGCCTTTGACATGTCAAGTAGGCAGATGCAGCAAGGCAATGCAGAGTCCTTTGCAGTGAGAACACCATCCGTTAGTAGCACAAGTGCATCTTCAGTGGAGTGATCCTTCCTGAAGGCAAATTGGGTCGGTGGTAGAACATTGTGTTCATCGAGGAATGCCATTGTTTGGGGTAATGTGAGCAAACCGAGTACTAGTGCATGTACATCTACAGTATGTGTACTAGTGAAGAAAGGAAAAAAAGCTCAGAAGAAAGGTAACTGAGTTACTGCACAGCAGCACAGATTGGTATGCACACGTATGCGATGGTGCCGTTCACTAAAAAAAAGGATAAAAAGATTCGCGATCTCTAACTTAAGGGAATTTGACTGATTCGCTAAATAATTCACTATAAGGTTTATGTGTCTCTAAAATTAAGGGGTTCACAGTAGTTTTCTAATGGTGTGGGAGGGCAAAGCCCGTCAAAACTTTCACAAAATACTCTGAACGAATTCAAAACATCGTAAAATATTTTGGTGCAGTGGTTTGGAGGCTGTATGTGCTTAGTGTGGCTTAGCTGCTATGCGTGTAAGGATGTGTATCAATAGCGTGAAGTGCTTTTTAGGCCAGGTGCTGGAATTGTGCTCCACAATGGTTGGGGCCGATGGATCCCGACATCTCGGCACCGGTGCCCGGCACTACCTGGCCTCGAAACCGAATGTGCGCTTCTTCTCGGCCCGTCTTAGGGCACTACCCTGTGCTTGGGGAGAGGGAAGGGAGGGGGGGGGGGGGGGGAGAGATTGCAATGAACTCATCAGGAATGCTATACTTCACATGATGGTTGCCGCGTCGTGATCGTTAATAACTTACTTATGTAGACCGACGGACAAGAAAATTTGATATTTTAGACTCTGACGGGTATGCTTGGTTGGGAGATTTATTGATAGACTGAAAGACAGATTGTAGAAATACTTGGGTTCGTATAAATACTCTGTATTAATACTTCTCTGGGTAAATACTGATCTGAGAGAGAAGCCTACTGTAGTGGCCATTTGATCGCATGCTTTCAACCTCACAAAATAACGGCGACTCACGAATAAGTCGGAATAACGACACTTTCCTCCGATCGTCAAATGACTGCCAATAACAAATGGATGTGAAGTGAAGGGTGATAGCCAACCACTGCAACTATCCGAAACTGTACAAACATAATGTATTGTGTACTATTGTGTACATTACGCGACGACGCAGCTTTGTGCAATATTCTCGAAAACGGGGATGGAAGCCAAAACGCTGGCAATTGTGTGTCCGCGGAATTTCGATATCCTTAGTGTTGGGACAGGTTACTCGCCTACATAGGGCCACTATATTTGCAGTGCTGCGCCATTCTGACTGTGACGCTTTGAGCCGGTTTAGAAAATGCTTTCTTGCTTACTAGACTCTATTGCAGTTGGTTCAACCCGTCACTCTGAGCTCTGCTGATGAGACCTAAGAATGTCAACACGGTTACTACCGTATTTCCCCGATTGTAAGGCGCACCTCCACTTTGAGCTTTGAACCACATTGCTGCAATACATGCGTATAAGTAGGATGTCACTCTCGATTGTAAGTCGCATCCCCTACTTTGCCCTTGAAGTATAGCGTAAAACGGTGTGGCTTATATTCGGGGAAATACGGTAGTAGCTGTGCGGTGTGGAGAGTGAGTAGCACTGGAAGTATTTGTGTCTATTTTGCTATTTCCCTTGCAGCACATTTCTGGCACGGATTCACTGCACGCGCAGACCGTCTTTCCCAAGGAGGTGTTCAGCGCCAAGTTTCTGATGCTGCGGAGCATGTCGCTGGCATTCCACGCGCTGCGGAGCATCCCCGGCGAGGCGCCCTACTACTCGCCTCACCTGCAGCACTTTGACTGCTCGCACAACCGCCTACGCGCGCTGCCGGGCAACTTTGGCCACTTCCTGCACCTGCGGGTGAGTGGACGGGGTTTGTGACGATGTGTGCGACGTGCCATTTCAATAGATACTGTAAATCCGAACCAGCTTGGTTATAATGATTGCAACATTTCCACGCTTGACCATTATCAGGTATTAGTATGTACAATGGTGCTATCAAGTAAGCAAGGAACTGCTTATAACTGCTATACAGAGTGAGTTCCGCCAACAATCTGACTTATTAATAACCATAATGCTTTCATGCTTTTAAAAATAGCTTACGTGGAGATGGGATTTCGGTCTTTGACCACTTTGTGGTGGGTCTGATCTACTCACCTCCCACCGCTTAGGAGCTGCATCTGCGCCTTGATCCAAGAGGGTGGTGGCGTTCCTGCGGATGCGGAAAACTGGGCCTTTGGCCGAGTCTCACGCAAAACGTGAATTTTTTTTTTTTTTTTTACGTGGAGACAAGAAACAATAATAAAGAGCGAACGGCACACCAGCAACAACGACCATGTTTGGTTGTAATGACTGTTCCTTTTAACTTTTTTGGAAATTTCTCATCAGGGGAATTTACAGGCGAAAAGATACTGCAACAGTGCTTTGGCATGCTTTCATGCTTTCCACAGTATTTTTTGTAGCTATGCTCTCTCCTTTTGGCTCACTGTGAATTTGTGACGTGAGGTGTGGGACATGTGAAGTAGAGGTGACGGGAGAAAGCTTACAGGATCCTGAGCCGGACTGGGGTGACAACTCGCTTGCATTGTCACACATTTGCTTACACCTTTCTATTATTATTATTATTATTTATTCACAATCACGTGGCACTAGCCAATGAAATGGTCATGTGGGCGATAGCCAGCCATGGCGGTAATAGAGCTAGAGGGGAGAAAGAAAAAGAATGAAAGGAGAACTGAAAAGCAGGAGAAGCTAGGGCAGGGCTGGATATCAACTAGTATGTTTCATTCTGCAGTAGCTGTGTGAATGTATTGTAACATTGGCAGGATTTTAGATGTTGTGGGAGGAGAGACCAATGGCGGTAAGCAAGGAAGAGAGGAGATGTTTGCATAGAGGCAGACCGCGCAATAGGGAAGCGGAGAGAGTTTCTGGTGCGCATGTCTTGAGATTGAGCAAACCAGCTTAGGCAGGAGAGAGCATGAAGAGGAGCAATGCCCAGCTTAATTTTATGAATTGTCTGGCATGCCAAAAAACGCACGCGGACCGAGAGCGGCACAGCAGAAGCAAGGCGGTATAAGTCTGCGCTTGGAGTCAGTCGAGGAAGCCGAAATAATATTTTCAAAAGACGCCTATGCATAACTTCGAGTCGAGCAATCAGTGTTTTAGAAATGCCAGCCCAAATTATGCAGCAGTAATCAAAAATAGGCAGAATGTAAGATGTGTAGATAACATGGCGACAGTCGGTGTGGAGGTGGGTGATGTGTGACGAGAGAAATCCCATTACTGAGCTAACACGGCTGTCTAAATTTTCGATCTGGGATTTCCAGGTTAAGTGTTGGTCAATAATGACGCCAAGATGCTTGTGTTTTTCAACGATGCAGAGCGGGGTTGTGGTGCCTGGAAAGGTGAAGGGACTGGTTACTAATGAAGATAGGTCACAGGAACAACTGGGGGGGATACACATTACAGCAGTTTTCGAAGAGTTGGGCTGCAATTTCCATTTGTCCATCCAATGAATAACGCCATCTATGTTGGACTGTAACTTGGCACTAGCCTCGGGGAGAGTGGGTGCTGTCACAAGTAGTGCTGTATCATCAGCATATAGTGATGTGTGTTCCATTTCTGCCAAGTCGTTTACATACATAAGAAAGAGGAGAGGCCCCAGGATTGATCCCTGAGGAACTCCAGACCGTACATGCCCTTTGGCAGACAGAGCAGAGCCGATACGCACCCTTTGCTGTCTGCCCGTCAGGTAAGTACTGAGCCACGTGAAGCAAGTACCATGGATTCCATGGCGCGACAGCTTGTATAGGAGCCCGCGTGTCCATACTGTGTCGAAGGCCTTGCTTAGATCAAAGAAACATAGCATGCTGTAATGGCCGTTCTCACGAACAGAAGACATCGGTTGAACAAGTCTGAGAAGCTGCCAGGACGTAGAGTCGCCTTTTCGGAATCCAGACTTTCTACACAGCTTTGCACTTCCCTAGTGCTGCTGGCGCCTTTTGCCGCATTTCTACACACTGTTTAGTGCTGTGCAGTTCACTAGTCCTGTGGGCACCTTAGCCGCTACTCTTTGTACACAGTGTATCACACTTTGTTTGGTGCGGGACTCTTGGCGGGAGAATTGACAGATTATTGGCGGAACTCACTTTGTATATAAGCTGCCTCATGGTAGCTTGATAGGCATCATTATTATGTAGCTGCTGATGGACAAGTACGGGAACGGTGTAATCTAGCAACCTGGTTTGGAACTGCAGTGTCTTCAGGAATGGGCATGTTCGCCTGACCCATCTTCTACGTTGTGTTTAGTATACTGTACCAGTACTTGCTGTGGTGCTTGTTCACTGCCCTGCACCTAACATATCACCGTGTGTGCGTGTGTGTGTGCGTGCGTGCTCATGTGTGCATGCGTATGTGCATGCGTTTGTGTGTGCATGTGTGTGTGTGTGTGTGTGTGTGTGTGTGTATGTGTGTGTGTGTGTGTGTGTGTGTGTGTGTGTGTGTGTGCACATGATTACACTTTCTTCTGTTATCCAGGTTCTGTTGCTCTCGTATAACTCTCTCAGCTCATTGCCGGCATCCATGGCGGAAATGAGTGAGTTGCAGCGTGTTGACATCTCACACAACGCCTTCACTGACTTCCCGCCAGTACTGCTGCAGATCAGCAGCCTTGAGCAGCTCAACCTCAGCTTCAACATGCTGTCTGCGCTGCCTGCCGATCTTGCCAAGCTGGAGCGGCTGACGACTGTGCTCTGCCATATGAATCGCTGCGCGGTACGGGTAGCTGTGTCTGCGTGTGTGTTTGTGTATACTTGTGCGTGTGTGTGTGTGTGTGTATGCGTATGCCTGGGCGCTCGCGGCCCCTGTGAAGACGGCTCGAGATCACAGTACCCATGCTGATGTGCGTTTCGATACCGGATTTGGAAGCATCATGTCCTCCGTACAACTCCCTGGGGCAACTGTGTAGGAGTAGCTTCTGCAGGTGGTGGTGAGCGTAATCCAGCCCCGTGAACCCTACAGCTCTGGTCCTACATCGTATACGTCTATAGCCTACCTAACTAGTACGTATTGGTACAACATGAGGCAAACCTGATATTCCCTTCCTACTTCCATACATAGCTTGTCTCGATGATGTCATAGATTTTGACCCTGACTTTCGGACAGTGATGCTGTGCCTCGAGAGCGATCGCTCCGATGAGCCAAGAACTTGCACCGATAGCCTCCGTGGCCCGACTCTACCGACCGTGAAGTGGTTAATCAGTCTGGGTGAAGTTCCCTGTCTGCGTTTTCTGTTTGTCTATCGTGCTGTTGAACAGGTTCCACCGCAAGAAGTATGCAACAAAGGGTCTTCGGCCATTCTCTCTTTCTTTACGTCACAACTGGACCAAACAACAGCTGCCAGCAGTGAAGGCACTACACCGTGTTCTACCAGTGAACAGCAAACACCGGTGAGCTCAGTGGATGCATGAAACTCTTCATGGTATGTGTCTTGGAGATGGAGGATAATTACTTCAAAAAGAATTTCCTAATGAGGTTCCTTGCTTCTATTATTGTACTAGGCCTCAGTTACAGTGCGGAGATTTTTTGAAGATGCGCAATCAAGTCTGCCTTTTCTGTGTGTACTTGCGTGTGTATGTGTGTGTGTGGAAATTTGTGGACATTTGTGTGCGTATGTGTGTGTGTGTGTGTGTGTGTGTGTGTGTGTGTGTGTGTGTGTGTGCACACGCGCGCGCGCGTGTGTGTGTGTTTGTGTGTGTGTGTGTGTGAGTGCATGCGTGCGTGTGCGTATGTGTGTGATTGTGTATATAATTACGAATGGCCTTTCTTTCATAGACAGGAGGAGCTGCAGGGGCTGGTGTTGTGGGCCCGGTGTTCAAGCGTGAGTCTTGCCCTGAGGCACCCAGTCTGCTTAACAAGCTGGTGAGGTCAAGCCGCACACCGACTCTAGGAGAGCGGCAGAAGACGCCTCTCCGTGTGCCTAGCGGTGCAACGTAAGTATGTGTTATCGGTTTGAGTGCAGGGTTGAAACTCGTAGCTATGAATAAGCCCATTGCGCAATGACGTAATTTGCACCACCAGCACCCCACACAGCCACCTGGGCATGGTTGTGCAGGGTGTTGAACAGTGCATTGCTGATCCCAGCGTACTCACAAGCATTACTCATACCTTCCATATTTGGCAATGCGCAATGGGCTTATAGGATGACTGAATCGTGCGCTTGTCATGTTAGCGTACCTGACGAGTCCTGATTAGTCGGGTTCATTCAATTCCCACGCCCCGCTATCATTCAGATCTTGATTTAAACTGCACAAATTACTTCGCGAAAGTTCCGTATGGGTGAGAGTAGCATATAGCTAAAAGTGTGTGCCATTGTACGCTGAGTCTATGCTGGCAATCTACTGTACATGTGTATCATACTCCCTGCGTGTTGGCATGAGATACTGGATAAGCATGGCTGTGCTAAAAAACATTAACACTGTATGTATTCCTTGTTGGCAGAACTCTGTCGAACGAGCAGCTCACCGACCGCATTGCCGGCCTGGTGTACGGAGCGGCACTGGGCGACGCCGTTGGCCTGGCAACGGAGTTCATGATGCGCGAGGAGTGCCGCTTTCACTACGGTGTGGACGGCGAGCGTCTGTGTTTCAAGAACATCGTGCACGACCGGCATCGCTGCAAGTGGCAGAAAGGAGACTGGACGGATGATACCGACCAGATGGTATGTGGGCATGGGTCAGAGTTATTCTGTTTTGGTACACTGCTCTCTTTTATCCCTGTCTTTTTTTAATGTTAGACTACAGAATCATGCTGCTAATGTCAGACCACGGCCAAGTCTGCGACTTATACGCTACTGTCTGGGAAATACCCTACTGTATGGAGATAAGATGCATGATGTGTTGCATATTTTGAAAGGATTGGGAGAACTTCAAATTCGAAGGATCAGTCAGGGAAGTGAACTGCCTGAAAAGAGAGAAATAATGCCAGACCCACCAGGACTCGAACCCGGGACCTAGCTTGTCATGAGCAATGCTCTAGCCATCTGAGCTATGGGACCAGGCCAAACCTAGAAGACTGTGACCGTGTTTAGTGTATGTGCTGATGATCCACTCATGGATATTTCTTGCGTCCTCGTTATCGTATTGACGTCACACCATGCGCAGATCATTTTAGTATGGATGCTATTTTGTATTGACACACGGTGTCTCTTTGTTCTTGTTCCGGTTACACATTTTAACTTGTGAATTGTAGTTGGTCTTCTTCTAGTCTTCATGCAATCGATCATAGAATAAACCAAACTCTCTCTCTCTCTCTCTCTCTCTCTCTCTCTCTCTCTCTCTCTCTCTCTCTCTCTCTCTCTCTCTCTCTCTCTCTCTCTCTCTCACTCACTCTCTCTCTCTCTCTCTCTCTCTCACTCTCTCTCTCTCTCTCTCTCTCTCTCTCTCTCTCTCTCTCTCTCTCTCCCCGTAGCTCTCTCCTTTTTGAAATTCGCTTCCATAGAATTGGGCACCATTGCCCGTTTGGCCTTGCGAATTAAAATAAAAAATCAACAACAACAACAACAACCCCGTCTCTAGCTGAGACACTACAGTGACCGTGATTGGTCCTCTGGGGGAGGGAAGAAGACCCAAGTGCAATCAGTATGTGTAGGTCATACCCACCGTAAAGTGACCGAAAATACCATTCGCTGCATCCAAGCAACTCAAATGATTGCTCAATATCTAATATGACTGTAACGGAATCTCCAAGGCATACGCAGATAACTTCTTTGACTTTCATAACACTTGGAGTGCTACCTGTTTTCATTGGTGTACGTGCTCACTTGCAGATTCTCATCCTGCAGTCACTGGTACAGTGGGCCGGCGTGGTGGACGAGGTGGACTTTGCCAAGCGCCTGAAACACTGGTGTGACAAGGGTTTCCCGGAGCTTGGCGACGCAATGGGACAGGGTATAGGAGCCACGGTTGGCAGGGTACGTATTCTCATCCGGGCTCTTCTGGTGTCTTTTAAAAATGCTATTTCGCGGCACGTGTAGGCTTCCTCGGCGGCCATGATATTTCTGCTACACCTGTTGATACGAGGACTCGTACACCAGCGCAGGTTTGTTTTGTTTTGCAACACACAGTGATTTTCTGCATCTGGTTTGTATTCAGGTGCCTGGTCTGTTGCCTCGTGTGTGTGTGTGGGTGTGTGTGTGTGTGTGGGCATGTGTACGTGTGTGTATGTGCATTGTATGTATGTGTTTGTGCACAAACATTTGCATGCATGCTTCCTGTGTGTCTGATTGGCAGGTAACAATGAAGCCCGAGTTCCTGGTCAATCCACACGAGGCGGCACATCAGCAATGGGAGGGCACGGACAATGCGGCTAACGGCGCCATCATGCGTACGTCCATCCTGGGAGTACCGCACTTTCACGACCTGGACACGGTGCGCGATAACGTGCTGAGAATCTGCAAGACTACTCACTACGACCCGCGGTACGTAACCCCGACTGTACACACGGCGATAGGAGAGCTGGAACTGTGACTGTGGCATTCTGTGTGGCAGGTAGCGCAAGTGCTACCCCATGTTCTACATGTACGTGCATGTCAACGCCTAACAAGGCTGTTTGCATGTGGCACCAGTGGAAGGTGTCACTGCCACAGTCCAGCTCGCACAGCGGACCCGCTTGCATCATACGGTTTAGAACACGAACTCAACTTGCACCACTCACCCCCGATGGTGGTGACAGTGACCGAAGCGCTGAATCGCTATGCCTGATTGGTGGAACATTGCACTGTAACAGATTGGTGGCCAGTGTTGCCTTAAAAACCTTTTTTTTAGATTTCAAGGCTTGTTGATGGTGTCGATGGTGTTGCCAAACAGCCTCAGTCCGCGTCGGGTGAGAAACAGAACTGGAGAGACTGGACAACTGGCCACGAGCGATGTGGAAGTGCTGTAGGTAGTTGGGTGTTTATCCCAGAAGAGAGTGTGTAGTGTGTGGGTATAATGCGGGCAGTAGGGTGATAGACATGAAGTAACTTACTATGGAAACGTTGGAGGTCTGATGATGGTGGTGGACTGGATGTGTTGATGCCATCCAGTTCTCGAATTGACATAGAATTGCTGTTCATCCGTGCTGTATTTGTTGTCGTTATTGTGCTGTGCTCTGCAGCTGTCAGGCAAGCTGTGTCTCCTTGTGTTCAGCCCTGGCACTGCTTCTACAGGTAAGGCAGGAGAAAGTAGCACCCCACCGCTCTGCCGCCCCTTACCCCAGCTGAGATGTTCTTAGAATCGCATGCATGTTCTTGTATGGTTCATGTAATTTCTGTTATCACTCAAATGTGTTTGGGAGTTGGAATGAAGACCATGTGTTCCAGAGAGTTGACGGCCACATTTTCTGTGGGTTTGAATGGCCATGATTTATATCCGTAAATTTAAATTCCCCGAGCAACTCGAACCTTCAGAAGACTATTTAGAAATAGTATCCCATCGTTTGTTTTCATTTCCTACCACTACTGATGTACGTGGCTGGTGCCAATGCAGCTCCCGAGTGTGATGTCATTTTTACGTTTTTTCTGATGGCATGCAGGGAAAACATGACTGCTCCGATGCCAGCCAAGTTGAGTTGCTGCTGAACGAAGCCACACAGCGCGGCCGTGACTTGTTGTCTGACGAGAAGCATCTTGTGGACTTTGCACGCTACACCAGTGTGCACAGCTTTGAAGAGTAAGACACTACACTGTGCTGATGAAGGGGGTCATTTGCAAGCTTGTGTTGCTTTCCAGAGAGTGTCTGGAAGCCGTACAGCGTGCGTTGGTGCCCAGACAACTAAGCTCAAGCCATGTGTGCGTGTACAGTGTTAGTGTGTGTTGTAGGCTCCGGGCATTGCAGGGCTAACCACGTGCAGTTATCTCCTCGGTGATCAGGTTTCTAGATGTCCTCCTCCCTCATAAAGGGGTATTTGACCTAGTTTCTGTGAGCCCGGCCTGAACTTGCTTGTGTGTGTGTGTGTGTGTGTGTGTGTGTGTGTGTGTGTGTACGCGTGTTTGCATGCACTTACATGTGTGTGTGTGTATGTCTGTCTGTGTGTATGTGCGCATGTCTGTATTCTTGTGTATGTGTGTGTGTGTTATGTTTGTTACTCCAGGGTGCACTGTGACAAACCGGGAGAAATAGGCTATACGCTAAAACCGCTTGCTGCTGCCTGGGTGACAATGAGACAGGACGGGGATTTCAAGTAAGTCTGGTACTGCGGTGACTTCTCTTCTGGAATGATCTTGAAACCTGCTGTTCCCACCCTCCTAGATGTAGCTACGATGCATTTCATACTTCTATCACTTCATCAATTTTTCACATGGGACGATAGTCGCGATACAGTAAAACCGTGGATTTGTGACTGTCTTTCGACCCAGGAAAAGTGGTCTGATTTGTGAAAATGAGAATCATGTTTACGCACTTCATGCAGCCAGGTTTGGGACCGAGCAAAAGTGGTCGTATTGGTGAGGTGGTTGGTGCAATGAGGTGCGCACTCGATTACAAGTCACACTTGATTATAAGTCACACTCGATTATACGCCGTGCCCCACTTTAAGGTCTGAGCCACATTGTTTCAGTGTATTCACCTTGACCTTTGACCTTTGACGCCCATCGCCGGAGGCGATGATAGCAATGCTACGGCAGAAGCCATAGCAACTTGTGCTGGGATTACACCATTCAACAGCTTGCAAGGCTGAAGAATTGACCGTCACTATTCAGCCTGGTCTACACCATACAGCTATTTGGAGTGACATTTTCTGGCCAGTGAATCCCTGTGTATTCACATAAGTAGGATGTCACACTCGATTGTAAGTCGCACCCCTTCTTTGCCCAAGACGTTCAAGTGTTGAAAGGTGCGTCTTATTTTCGGTGAAATACGGTATGTGTGTGTGTGTGGGTGTGTGGGTGAAAAAAAAAGAAAAAGAAAAAAATGGAAAAATGAAAAATAGGGATTCACTGGCCAGAAAAAGTCACTTCAAACAGCTGTGTGGTGGATACCAGGCTAAAAATAGTGGCGGTCAATTCATCAGCCTTGCAAGCTGTTGAATGGTGTAATCCCAGCACAAGAAAGTTGCTATGTCTAACATAGCTGTTCGCTATCATCGCTCCCGCGATGGGCATGTCTGAGGTCTGAGAGGTATGTGTGTGTGTGTGTGTGTGTGTGTGTGTGTGTGTGTGTGTGTGTGTGTGTGTGTGTGTGTGTGTGTGTGTGTGCGTGCTACTCGTGCGATAGGGGTATGTGCGCCTAAGTTCTGCTTTTCTTGTTTCGTTACACGCTGCACACACAGATCCCAGATGACATCTTTGGCCATGGAGGGTGGCGACGCGGACAGCAATGCCACCGTTGCCGGGGCACTGCTCGGCTGTCGACTGGGCTACTCTGGGTTGCCCGCCGACTGGTTGAACGGCTTACTGCCAAAGAATGTGGACTGGCTAAACCTCAAGTTGAATGCGCTGCTAGATCTGATGGCTGTTACGTAGCTTGCCGTCACGCCGACCATGGATTGCCGTACACATACACGTGAATCGGAAACTCGGTTAGTTTGTCCACAATGGCTGGTGATGTGTCTTGCGAGTCAGTTTGCTGCAACAGGGTAACCTGTATCCGTGGATATCAGTTACCTGGGAGCATGTCCCGGTTCTTGAGTGCTGTCCGTGCAAGCTGCTGCATATATCCCAACTCTGGTGAAAGACACTGACACCGCGTCTGACGGGGCTCTGCTGCTAATAGCAACAGTCCCATGCATTGCTCCCTGCGGAACTCTCAGGTTGGCAATGGCAACGGTCAATGATGCAGCACAGTCCGTCAATTTCCAGTGTGTATTGATAGGGATATTGCGCAAGCACATGCTCAGCTGACGATTTTCACTAGCACATGGCTGGATGGAATCGAATTGCAGTGCCTGATTGAACTGTACAACATGAAATAGGTTATCTTCTAGATTAGGTTTTAGACATCTTGCTTCTGGAATGAGAGCTTTGATTTCTATGAGAAAGTGCCAGGTGGCGTGTCCCGGCATATTGAACAAAAATATTCATTATTTTTACACGGTACACTGACAGTAAAGTATTGTTGGTCAGACCCACCTCAAACTGCACTCAACCCCCTTCCCTTGCCACCAATATCAATTTTTCCTTCAAAAGTAGATTTCACCCGTGGTTCAATCAAGATTAGTTTCTATGTTTCCTCATCTATTTTTACAAAATCCGTAACATGTTAGCTACGGAGGAGCTATTTCTAAAGCCTAAAAGCCAACACAACTTTTCGAACATATCAGTAGTACAAAATGCCAACACAACAGAGTAAGTGTGTAGTAGTAGTACACAAATTCTCAATACCTATACAAATTTGAAACTGTTCATAAGCAAATCTGAAAGATGAGATAGAGAAGAGGAAATCCAGGGTGTTAAAAAAAAGCCAACGGCATGAATTGAAGAATCAAGCAGCGGTGAAGGTCGTTTGGTTGTCGACCGTGACCACATCAAGAAGGCTGCCGCTGGCAGGACGGTCGTTGCCCTCCATCCATTGCAGGAATGTTCTGGGGAAAAGGATGCAAGAAACAAGAAACATCAGTGATGAGATGGTGAGAGGCAGAAAGGAGAGAGAGGCTTGTGGGAACGGATGCCCTGGGATGACACGAACAAAACTTGCCCATCAAACCTTTGTCATGTTGATAAATGGATAAGGGGTCCCACAGAAATTGTCCTGATGAAATTCTCTCTTTTTTGTAGGGGTGAAACGAGTATATCGAATACTCGAGCGCTCGCTCGAAAATTCGAAACGAGCGAGTACTCGTTTCGCAAAATACTCGAAGTATTCTATGTACAGTGTACTGTATGCATGTACATCGAGCACTTCTCACACACGCACACAGACACACACCCACGCACACACACACACACACACCCACGCACACACACACACACACACACACACACACACACACTGGCACACATCCACATGCCCACACGGCCGCACACAATCAGAACACAGTGCTTACTCCGCGACGGTCTGCAGAGGTGTCCAGGCGGAGAAGTCGGCGTTGGGCATGAACTTGCGGTTCATGGGCGTGTCTAGGGTTACCCTAAAAGCACAGCCGAAGAGGAATGGAAAAAGACTGGTTAGACTTGTTGCCTTGCAAGCAGGTATTGCTCTCTACGTACTCCTTGTCTCACTAATTCATGCCTTGCTTCTGGGCACCCCTCCCCCCCCCCCCCTCCCGTCTTGAACTTGTTGTATGTTGCCGGGTGATCAAAGCACCCATTGGGGTGAATTCATTATGTTCGGGCGTTGACCGTACACACTCAGAAATTCGTAGTTCAAATGAATTGAGTTCAGTTAGGGGCCATCCGTAAATACCGATATTTATATAGAAACGGAAACTAGTCGCTGGGGGGGGGGGGGGGGGGGGGGGGGGGGGGGGTTGAGTGCCTGTTCGTTTCTCGAAAAAAATATCGATGCACAATTCGCATGTGTGGGCACATCAAGAAAAAAAATATCGATACTATGTACGGTTTGTATGTGTTCGTTTCTCAGGGAGAGGGAGGGGTTGAAGAGAAATGACAAGTTTTCGTTTCTAAATAAATATCGGTATTTACGGATGGCCCCTTACAAGGGGTCCTGTTGTCAGGCCACATTGTACACGTTCTAGACCAGCAGGGTACTCAGAGCCAGGGCATGAGTGAGACAAGGAGTGAGCACAGAACAACTCCTGATGGCAAGACATCTAAGAACAGAACTCGACAGGGTATTGTACTCCACGGCAGCAGAACTCCCCGTGGGAAGAAGGGGTCCAAGAGGAGATCCACAGATCCCGCACAACAGGTCTCCGAGAGATACGTCAGTCGGATAACATATTCCCATTGCACTTCACTGTAAGAAAACAGGCTGTAGTCAGGAAAGAAGTACATGACAGTACATGACAGTGCATGACAGTGCATGACAGTACATGACAGTGCATGCACCAATGTCTAGATACAGAGAGGGCTCACTGTGCGAGTACAGTGAGCCCTCTATAATCCGGCACCATTTGTGCAATGGAAATTCTGCTGGATTAGGGAGGGCGCTGGATTAACAAATCTGACTTACTGCTGCAATGTGCATGAAGAGGATATTTTGGTTACTGATTATTGTGCTGGTTTATAAAGTGCTGGATTAGAGAGGGCCGACTGTACATACAGTGAAGTCATAATTGATCATTGGCTTTTCGCACTTACGGCAGGATGGCGACGGCTGTTGAGTTGGCGGGCATGCCGCTCTTGTCCGCTGCCAAGCTCTTTGTGAGCTGGTGCACGGCGGCCTTGGCCATGCCGTATCCCATCATACCTAGGCAGAAACAAATACACATGCACCATTCGCAGACGCAGGCACGCACACACACACACACAGCCACACACACACACATGTGCAAGCACACACGCACATGCACACACACACACACACGGAAGCCGAGCACAGGTTTAGAAATGAACACATGCACAGTATACGCCTAGCGCAGAAGAAGACCCAAACCTACGGAACCAAGAGTACATGAAACCCGGAGTATGCAGCTTGTGACTTTTCGTCAGTGTCTGTCATGTCTAAATTTCTGGATTACATCATAGTTGGTGTGGATATGCAGCGAGGAGTAGCGTAGTGCGTAACGACTGAGCTGCAGTTGTGCAGCAGGAGACCTGCCTGAGTCGTGCTTGTACGCACCACACCACTAAAATGATGTAATCCAGGAATTTCGCACTGACAGCAACCCATATGAGCTGCACACGTTTGGTTTCATGCACTCTCCACGGAACCCATTCGGCTAGTGCCCACTACCGTTACTATAAGAGAAAAGCCGTGGGTGTACAGCCAGTGCTCTTGGATGCATGTGTGCTTCTCTTCCATCAAGCAAAGCATAGTGGAACTCGCTTACTACGTTCTTTGATGAGGCATACTCTTGCTTACTACGGACACTGTACGGAGCACGGGTGCACTGATCCATGCTGAAGTATGTTGGAACAAGAAGTACAGAGCTGCTTAATGACATCCGATGGAGTCAGTCAGCTTTGCGCCGGTACGAGAGAGAATCTTACTGTTCGCAGGTCTAAATATAGGGCTGCACAGCGCCCAGCGTGTACTTGGCTTACACAATCGGGTTCCATTGAGCAATACTGTAACTTGGATACTACTAAGCACGCCTTTCTGCTGCCCCTGGGGGTATGCATTATCAGAGCTCTACTGTGCACCGTAGTGCAGTGATAAAAAAGTAAAGTTAGCCGGATTGGCGGCCACATCACCTGACGTGTCTATGAACACATCAAGCAAATACATTCACATCGGCGGGCCACCACTTCGTCCACTTATATCCTCAGTGTCGAATGCAGACCTCACAAGCGAGTCAGGGGAGAGGGGATAAGTCTCTCAACAGCAGCGGTGCTCAATGAAATCCGGTCGCGTCACTGCGCCTCGCATCATCTCGCAGCCCAGTGTCCGCAGGTCTATGGCCGCGCAACGCCTGGCACGTACTTAAGTGACGCTGTGACTGGATTTCATTGATCAGTACTGTACTGCAGAACAAAGGTCCACTCTGCACTGGGTTACTGTGGAGTCCAGTAACGTTAGTCCACTGGGCAGGCACTGGACAGGCAAATGGCGGATACTGTAAGACCAGTAATGTTAACGAACATTTAGTTCTAACGATTTAACGAATTTAAACAATTCGTTAACATTTGAGTTCGTTACGTACAAAACGACATGGACCTGTACAGTCATTTGCCGGTTTTGAGACGGAATTCGTTAGAATTTCACCACGTTAACCCACAAAAATCCGGAGATTGTTAACTTTAATTGACGCTAACATATCTGGTCTTACAGTAGGTTGCTAGCATGGAGTGCAGAAGCAACACAGCAAAGTGCAAACGATAGTTACCTTCAGTGCCTTCACGGGCTGGTCGCGCTCCAGTCAGCGTCAGCAGACCACCACTGCACAGCACAACACCAGACAAGCAGCAGCACAATCATACAGACACACAGACACAGACACACACACACACAATAGCAGATTACACAAAGCAAGCTTGGCATCACGCACACACAACACGCCATAGAAACCTGCAGCACTAGTAACTTGGCTTCTACGCAGAGTACTTCATTCAAGAAAAAAAGCGATTGTCAACTGAAAGCGGCTCTATTCAATTGCTACTGCACTCAGTGTGCCGAGTTATTTCGGAAGGAAGTACTTGAAAATTAGTTTACTGATAGAACACTGAAGTTTCGGGCCAGTCACACATCATCAGAACAATTTACAAGGGGCAGACCTGGCCTTTACACAGCACTTCATACAACAGAGGATTAAAGAGTTGGTGGACAAGCCGTTGATTATTCACTCTCATTGTAATATCAAAAAGTATTCTTTCTAGACCAAAGAGTGGTATATTTGATAACATTTAATAACGATAGAAATTTTTTTACGATACTTCTCCAGACGTTTCGTTGTTCTGAACAACATCGTCAGTGGATAAAGAATGGAGGGCTTTGGGTGGTGGCACGGGTTAATAGGGAGTGATGGTGGTGAGATGAGGTGAGGTGAGAAGGTGAAGGTGGGAAATACATGTATCTAAGTTAATGGTGAAGGTTAGGTGCGGGTCGATACAGGTGGGAAGGGGTACACCCTTCGGGTAGAAGTGTAGGTTGGTAGAAGGTGTTGGTGTGCGTAGAAGGTGGAGTGGCGTAATGGAAGTGTCGGGTTGATAAATGTGGGAGAGAGTCTAGGTAGGGTGTGGATCAGCAATAGGTGTTGGTGTATGTGGTGGGTAGAATTGGCAAGAGGTGTGTGTGTGTGTGTGTGTGTGTGTGTGTGTGTGTGTGTGTGTGTGTGTGTGTGCGTGCGAAAAAGAGTAAGGTAGTGAGTATTGGTATGCGTGGAAGGAAGATGTGACAGAAGGTGTGCGCTATAGGCAAGGGGTGCAGGAATATTTTGAGGTGGTGGGTGGGACTAAAACAGGAGGTTGTGATTCATCTAGTGATATATATATATATAATATCAGCAATAGCAGCAGTATATACAAAGAGGTGTGTGTGTATGCGTGTGCGTTTGCAAGCTTTTTGGTAGTGTAGTGTGTTGGGGGGGGGGGGGGGAGAGAGCACCGGGTGCGGGTGTTCTTCTTCTATTGCGATCATTTTTGGATGGGTTGGCAGATAGTGGATGGTGGTAGGCAAGTTATGCCAAGAATCCAGTTCCCATATCTTCTTTTCTTCTGTTGATAGTTGGTTTCTTGTCGCGGATGGCATATGCCTCACGGATCCGGAGCCTCAGCTCATCCCTCTCCGTGAGCTGAGCAATCTCGTACATAATCTCTGGGGTGGCGTTCGGGTGCTCCCTAGCGTAGTGCACACCGAATGCAGACTTCTTGTCATGAGATTTTGCAGCATTTGTGTGCTCTTGGGCCCGGGTGTGCACTTGCCTCCCAGTCGAGCCGACGTATCTCTCGTGACAAAGGTGGCATGTAGCTTCGTACACGGCAAATCTGCAGGTGCATTTCTTCCTGAACATAGGGCATTCGCGCATTCTGCATTTTTCCGGTTCTCCTTTTTTCTTCGTGAGTTCTTGGATGGTTGGGGGTCGAGGGTTAACGAGGCGTGCCGTTATGCCGTTTTTCTTAAGTGCCTGTCGTACTTGGCCGTTAACCTTGTCGGAGATGTACGGTATTCTAAATACCAGTTGTTTCCCTTTTGTTTGTTTACTTGTGTTTCTTCTTCGGGCTCGCGCTTTGATGATGTGTTCTGCAGAATAGCCGTTCCCTGCAAGTTTATCTGAGATGAGGCGTCTGGCTTCCTCCGCAAACTCAGGCGTGCTGTTGTCTTGTGCTCGCTTGTATTCATTGTTAATGACCGCCATCTTAACCGCCGTTGGATGGTGGGAATCTGCGTGTAGTGTTATCCCTTTGTTTGCTTCTTTTACGTAGAGCTTGTGTGTGACTTTGCCGTCAGGAAGAATCTTTAGTCTGATATCCAGGATTGGTAGGAAACCATCTTTGTCCGGCAACTCCAGTTCAAACTTGATTGTCGGGTGTTTTCCGTTGAGTTTGGTCAGTAGAGACTGTGCTTCCGCAGGAGTGTCAACTGCGGTCCCCGAGTCGTCCACATAGCGAACGAACACTGGCAATGGCGGCGAGATGTTTCTGTAAATGTGGCGCTGTTCAAAGCGGTCCATGACGATGATAGCTATTGTGCCGCTGAGTCTGCTGCCCATCGCCAATCCCCTTGTCTGTTTGAATGTTCCAAGGGTTGGGTGTTGGAACACGTTGTTATATAGAATCAGCCCGAGGAGCTCTTTTAGGTCGACCGGTGTGAGGGAGTAGGTATTGATTTTGAAGCGGTTCGCGTATTCGAGGACGGTGCTGATTCCTTCTTCAATGCCAATGTTTGTGTACAGCGAGATCACGTCGAATGAGATGGGGATTTTCTTCTTCAGTTTGTTTTCGTTGCTCGTAAATTGGGCTATTAGGTCCCGCGTGCTGCTGATGTGGGCGCTCACGTTAAGCAGCAATGGCTTGAAGATGAAATGGAGGATCCAACCGAGTCTTTCGAAAATGCCGCCTGATCCCGAGACGATTGGGCGAATCTTGAGAGATTTCTTGTGTGTTTTCGGCAGTGCGTAGAACCGTTGCGTTCTTGCGCAGGGTGGCGTATTGAGTCGTCTGATGATGATCTTGGGGAAATCTCTGCTTCTGAGAATTTTCTCTAGAGCTTTGTTGATGGTGAGGCGCAGTGTCGGTGTTGGATCTTTCTGAAGTTTGCAATATGTTGTTGAGTCGGCAAGGTGCTCCCTGCACAGTTCCTGCATGTCCTCCGCCTTCATGATCACCATCTCGCCTCCTTTATCACTTCGAGTGACCACGATGTCCTCACGTTCTCGTAGTTCTTTAAGCGCATGCCGGTCTGCGTGGGAGATGTTGGGTTTAGGATTCTGCCATTTCCCCGCCGTTCTCATAATGCGCTCCATGTCCGTGATGAAACCTTTGATGGATCGCTCGGCTGGGTCTATGTCCCGTGGCGGTGCTTTTCTCCTGATCTTGAACGGACATTCTGATTTGATAGGGTCGAAGGTTCCACCAATACCGGTTCCGGTTCTCTCCCCAGCGGCTTTCCATCGAATGCCGTATGCGAGTACAGCGATCTCCGTCTGTAACTTCTGTTGCAGTCCTTTCTTGGTGAATTTCGGTGTGATGGCGAATTTTGGGCCTTTTGCTAGAAGCGACACTGCCTGTTCGGATACACTGATATCTCCCAGTATACTTACTCTCTGTGTTAGGTTCCTGTGTCTCTCAGTGACGTTGTCTGGCATCGAGGTATGAGGGCTGTTCGGCACGCAGCCGGGTCCCAGTAGCAGTGTACCGTCTGGTTGTTCTCGGGATTCTGTTAGTCTCTTGAATTTCTGCTTCAAGGATGATTTCCATTTTGTCTTGCTGGCATGGGCTGCTGCGTTGACCAGATCATTTAGTCGCTGGTATTGGTCGCTTCTCCGGTGCATGGATGCCTGAAGCTTGTTGGCCTTTGATTTCGAGGTGTGGATGGCATGGTATTCCGCGCGTATGAGTTGTCCGAGTATTCGTTTTTCGGTTTCGCGTTGATATCGTTCTGTATAAGCCAGGTTCTTGATGGCTGTTGGGAAGCGGATTGGGTTGTGTAACGCGGGTGGACATATACCAGCGTTGGACGGACATATACGCTGGTATATGTCCACCCGCGTTACACAACCCAATCCGCTTCCCAACAGCCATCAAGAACCTGGCTTATACAGAACGATATCAACGCGAAACCGAAAAACGAATACTCGGACAACTCATACGCGCGGAATACCATGCCATCCACACCTCGAAATCAAAGGCCAACAAGCTTCAGGCATCCATGCACCGGAGAAGCGACCAATACCAGCGACTAAATGATCTGGTCAACGCAGCAGCCCATGCCAGCAAGACAAAATGGAAATCATCCTTGAAGCAGAAATTCAAGAGACTAACAGAATCCCGAGAACAACCAGACGGTACACTGCTACTGGGACCCGGCTGCGTGCCGAACAGCCCTCATACCTCGATGCCAGACAACGTCACTGAGAGACACAGGAACCTAACACAGAGAGTAAGTATACTGGGAGATATCAGTGTATCCGAACAGGCAGTGTCGCTTCTAGCAAAAGGCCCAAAATTCGCCATCACACCGAAATTCACCAAGAAAGGACTGCAACAGAAGTTACAGACGGAGATCGCTGTACTCGCATACGGCATTCGATGGAAAGCCGCTGGGGAGAGAACCGGAACCGGTATTGGTGGAACCTTCGACCCTATCAAATCAGAATGTCCGTTCAAGATCAGGAGAAAAGCACCGCCACGGGACATAGACCCAGCCGAGCGATCCATCAAAGGTTTCATCACGGACATGGAGCGCATTATGAGAACGGCGGGGAAATGGCAGAATCCTAAACCCAACATCTCCCACGCAGACCGGCATGCGCTTAAAGAACTACGAGAACGTGAGGACATCGTGGTCACTCGAAGTGATAAAGGAGGCGAGATGGTGATCATGAAGGCGGAGGACATGCAGGAACTGTGCAGGGAGCACCTTGCCGACTCAACAACATATTGCAAACTTCAGAAAGATCCAACACCGACACTGCGCCTCACCATCAACAAAGCTCTAGAGAAAATTCTCAGAAGCAGAGATTTCCCCAAGATCATCATCAGACGACTCAATACGCCACCCTGCGCAAGAACGCAACGGTTCTACGCACTGCCGAAAACACACAAGAAATCTCTCAAGATTCGCCCAATCGTCTCGGGATCAGGCGGCATTTTCGAAAGACTCGGTTGGATCCTCCATTTCATCTTCAAGCCATTGCTGCTTAACGTGAGCGCCCACATCAGCAGCACGCGGGACCTAATAGCCCAATTTACGAGCAACGAAAACAAACTGAAGAAGAAAATCCCCATCTCATTCGACGTGATCTCGCTGTACACAAACATTGGCATTGAAGAAGGAATCAGCACCGTCCTCGAATACGCGAACCGCTTCAAAATCAATACCTACTCCCTCACACCGGTCGACCTAAAAGAGCTCCTCGGGCTGATTCTATATAACAACGTGTTCCAACACCCAACCCTTGGAACATTCAAACAGACAAGGGGATTGGCGATGGGCAGCAGACTCAGCGGCACAATAGCTATCATCGTCATGGACCGCTTTGAACAGCGCCACATTTACAGAAACATCTCGCCGCCATTGCCAGTGTTCGTTCGCTATGTGGACGACTCGGGGACCGCAGTTGACACTCCTGCGGAAGCACAGTCTCTACTGACCAAACTCAACGGAAAACACCCGACAATCAAGTTTGAACTGGAGTTGCCGGACAAAGATGGTTTCCTACCAATCCTGGATATCAGACTAAAGATTCTTCCTGACGGCAAAGTCACACACAAGCTCTACGTAAAAGAAGCAAACAAAGGGATAACACTACACGCAGATTCCCACCATCCAACGGCGGTTAAGATGGCGGTCATTAACAATGAATACAAGCGAGCACAAGACAACAGCACGCCTGAGTTTGCGGAGGAAGCCAGACGCCTCATCTCAGATAAACTTGCAGGGAACGGCTATTCTGCAGAACACATCATCAAAGCGCGAGCCCGAAGAAGAAACACAAGTAAACAAACAAAAGGGAAACAACTGGTATTTAGAATACCGTACATCTCCGACAAGGTTAACGGCCAAGTACGACAGGCACTTAAGAAAAACGGCATAACGGCACGCCTCGTTAACCCTCGACCCCCAACCATCCAAGAACTCACGAAGAAAAAAGGAGAACCGGAAAAATGCAGAATGCGCGAATGCCCTATGTTCAGGAAGAAATGCACCTGCAGATTTGCCGTGTACGAAGCTACATGCCACCTTTGTCACGAGAGATACGTCGGCTCGACTGGGAGGCAAGTGCACACCCGGGCCCAAGAGCACACAAATGCTGCAAAATCTCATGACAAGAAGTCTGCATTCGGTGTGCACTACGCTAGGGAGCACCCGAACGCCACCCCAGAGATTATGTACGAGATTGCTCAGCTCACGGAGAGGGATGAGCTGAGGCTCCGGATCCGTGAGGCATATGCCATCCGCGACAAGAAACCAACTATCAACAGAAGAAAAGAAGATATGGGAACTGGATTCTTGGCATAACTTGCCTACCACCATCCACTATCTGCCAACCCATCCAAAAATGATCGCAATAGAAGAAGAACACCCGCACCCGGTGCTCTCTCCCCCCCCCCCCCCCAACACACTACACTACCAAAAAGCTTGCAAACGCACACGCATACACACACACCTCTTTGTATATACTGCTGCTATTGCTGATATTATATATATATATATCACTAGATGAATCACAACCTCCTGTTTTAGTCCCACCCACCACCTCAAAATATTCCTGCACCCCTTGCCTATAGCGCACACCTTCTGTCACATCTTCCTTCCACGCATACCAATACTCACTACCTTACTCTTTTTCGCACGCACACACACACACACACACACACACACACACACACACACACACACACACACCTCTTGCCAATTCTACCCACCACATACACCAACACCTATTGCTGATCCACACCCTACCTAGACTCTCTCCCACATTTATCAACCCGACACTTCCATTACGCCACTCCACCTTCTACGCACACCAACACCTTCTACCAACCTACACTTCTACCCGAAGGGTGTACCCCTTCCCACCTGTATCGACCCGCACCTAACCTTCACCATTAACTTAGATACATGTATTTCCCACCTTCACCTTCTCACCTCACCTCATCTCACCACCATCACTCCCTATTAACCCGTGCCACCACCCAAAGCCCTCCATTCTTTATCCACTGACGATGTTGTTCAGAACAACGAAACGTCTGGAGAAGTATCGTAAAAATTTCTATCGTTATTAAATGTTATCAAATATACCACTCTTTGGTCTAGAAAGAATACTTTTTGATACAACAGAGGATTGCTACAAGTAAGCGTAGGGAAGTAGCTCAGGCAAATGAGTCGGATGCGATGACAAGCGCGCATATTACATTCTACAAGGTGTAGGAGGCGCAGTAGGTGCGAATGCCAGCACTTAACACTCAGCGCTAACACCACACAGTCCAGGACACTGGTGACAGGCATTGTCATGCATGATGAACGTGAATGCATGCAAGCATCGGCAACTTCAGTTGCGCTCGGTGAAATCTGACCCAAAGTGCGAAGCTGACACTCTGGACCAGTTCCGATCACATCACTGCATTTGGACATGTGTACGCCCAGCAGCATTCGTACCACTTCCAGGGCGTCAAGGGTTGTGCAAGTCTAGGGCGCTAAATACACACTTTTGGTCGGGATTTCACCCAGCACAGCTGTAAGTTGTAGTGTGCTGCTCAGGTGGCGAATCAGGAGACACCAAGTCAAAGCAATCCATTGCAACACACAGTGCTATCTCTTGTTGCATGTTTATGGGTGTCCAACTCTCCAATGTGTGAGGAAACGGAACACAGATAGCACCAAACGGAGATGGTGGGTACGCGTTGACTATTGTAGAGTAGAAAGTGATATCCCGATAATGCGCGGGAGGCGGCTCCCTGTTGGCACTGGCTCATTAGAGTGATAGCGTCTCTTGTACGGGCATGCTGACTCGTCAGAGTGCTACTATAGCAGTCAGTATTTCTCAACTCAAGCCACATTCAACACAATCCTGCTGTTCCTTTTTTTCCACTGGTCCCAACAGGTTTTTTTTAAAAGAGTAAACGTTTGCTTCCATTCCCAAGAAACTCACGCCGGCCACTAACACCAGGAAAATCACGATCATTCACAAGCATACAAAATAAGACCTGAGGGCTAAGACTATTTAGGAGATGAAGCACTTTAGGGGCCGTCCATAATAATCAATCTTTTACACAAAACGAAAAAGTTTCGTTTATGGGTGGGTGGGTAGGGGAGAGTTTTCGTTATGAAAAGTATTGATAGCTGAAACATCAATCCGTTCTACTTCTAGCTGTCAAGTCAATATATTTTGGTTCAGGGGGGGGGGGGGGGGGGGGGGGGGAGGGTCGTAACTAAACTTTTTCGTTTCGTGAAAATTATCGATAATGCCGGATGGCCCCTTAGCGAACTGTCCAGAAACGAGCGTCATCTAGGGATTTGATGGCCGATACCTGGCTGAAAGGTGGCCGGATATGGGATGTCCAAACAAGACAGCTTCTACTGTGAACATTGGAGTGTAACATTTTTACACAAAAAAGTACATGTACGTCCAAAAGGGGCTGCAGCCCGGAACCAGGAAAACACTGTACGGACCGCGAGCTAGATAAAACTACCCAGCAGGCAGCCGGTGTCGTCAACGGGGTACTTACTCCTTCAGATGGAGGTTGGCGATGCGTGCAGCAATGGCGGACGACCACACACTCTGCTTCCACATCAGGTCGGCGTTCTTCACCATATCTGAGCCGAACACGGGCATACACAGGGAGTGCGGAAATTAGACATGGACTGGAACATGTTCAAGGGTAAATTTATCCCCCAACCTCCCCCCACTTTTCAGGAATGTCAATTGGTAAGCAAGGTGTCCGCGTCGTTGAGTGTTTGCCTTTTGTTGTCTACCCGCCTCCATCTCACTCACCCATTCACTGACACACACACACACATGCATACATGTACATTAAACCGCACTTGTACATCACATGCAAAAGGCGACGAAGCCTTGCGCTGGAATAGCGCCATTCACAACCTTGCAAGGTCAATGAACTGACCCCCGCCCCCGCCACTATTTTCATCTGACTATCCCACACGTCCGCATGCACAAACATAACGAATTTTCCGGAGTAAAAGCCCCATCCCCCCCATATTTTGCCACAAACTACAGACATCTACCCTATTTATCATCGTTACTTTGATCATCGGAGTATAAGCAGCACTCCCTCCCCCCCCCCCTTTTGGGGTGAAATTTGAATGTTCAAAGGGCGGCTTATACTCCGGAAAATACGTTACATGCTGCCACTGACCTGCCGCTGCTGCATTGCCACCTGCCCAGCCACCGGCCACGCACAGTACGGCATCAAGGCGGTTGTCAGACAAGGTCGTGCTCAAGCCTTCCAAGATCTGCGCAGCAGAGCAACACAAACCCAAATTATCAAACAATCCAAACATAAACAGTGGGGGCATACAATATACTGAGCTGCTGCCGTGGCTCGGTAGTTCCATCCACCGTTTTTACATCCTTGACGCATAGTCCTCAATTAGCGTCTATTGCTTGTTCAATACTTATAAGATATGTACTAATGGACTGGTTGTACATTCTTGCGTAGATGCATGCGTAGACAAGACATTTTATTATTAATATTTACGTTTCCTGCCAACGCCTTTTTCCAATTATAAAAGTTAATAAAACACAGGGCACTAATAGCAGCCAAGGCTATTGTGGCTAAACACACACACACACACATACACACACATGCGCGTGCACACACACACACACACACACACACACATGCACACCCATGCACGCACACACACGCGCACGCACACACATGCACATACACACACGCGCGCACACACACACACACACACACACACACACACACACACACACACACACACACACATACGCACTCACTCACACGCAGGCACGCGCACGCACACACACAGACATATACATACCTCTGTTTCTTGGCTTGTCCATGAGGCCTCCGGGTTGACCAGGACGTTGCTGTCGGCCTCCTCATTAGCGAACAAGTCGACTGACACAACCCACTGTCAGCGAAAGGAACAAACAAAACAAACACAGACGGGTGCCGTGGGTGTTGAGTAAGAGCAAATGTAACAGTGCCCAAGGACACACTCACGTCTTATTACCGTTCTAGGGGGGGGGAGGGGGCACCCTGAGCTCGATTTACATAGTACGAGGACGCCCCCTACACCCCCACCCCCCCCCCCCCCACACACACACACACACCAACTGCCTTCATTTACTATGCATGGCGCTTAGGAAATCTAACAACCCCGAATGCACAATACTACCAATTTCAGTCGCAACCTAGGGCGAACAATGCCTACTAAAACACACACTTTTGAAGAAAAAAACCTCGAGACCATCATTGAATTAAAAACATTTCACTTCACCACAGGGAAGTGCAAGGAAATGAATAGAGCACTTCGATAACCTACCCAGTTCTTGGACCTGAGGAAGGACACGATTGTTGAGCCAAGGGCTCCCTTGCCGCCGTAGACGAGAGCACGACCTGCCATGATTATCAACTTCAATTTCAAATGCACAACACAAAATAATGTGTTCGGAAAACACGTGCATGTACAAAAAAATATTCCGAACAGGTGGGCGAGGGACCACAGTGCGCCAGCAAACGGGCGAAGTGACGCTCCTTTGTCAGCGTTGTACTAGTGTGCGCCAACTTGATTGCCCGTAAATGGGTGACGATGAGTGGTCTAGTCTACCCGGCCGGCCAAGCTCTCTGGCCATAGCCTGCATACTGAGGCCCATAGCCATAGCCTACAAAAGGCCACCCTCACTCAGCTCAGCCCCTCATCATGAATGATTAGCCTCGATCGTAGATCATCGTAGATGCATGATGGTAGACGATCGGTACTGTAGATCTACACCATGCTACACACAAACTGTGACAAAGGCCCTCCTTACCTCTTCTTCTTCCGAGTTCGCATTTCAATGCTCTAGCTGTCCATAATCGGAATAAGCACAAACCCACTGTTGTGACGAAATCGCTCAGCGGTGAAGAAGAAAGACGGTGCAAGTCAATGCTAGACTCGTCGCAGTCGTGAATACCATGGCCATGGCGAGTGCAGCTATTCTCAGGCGTGCAACGAAGCGCTCTATTCTGTGGACTTGAGAATCCGAACGAGGGTAAGTCACATTAGTTTCTCGTTTGCCTTCACGTAATTTGCGTGGGTTGCGTGCAAAAGCACATCACACCTCAATGTAGCATCGAGAGAGAGAGAGAGAGAGAGAGAGAGAGAGTGCGCCTTTTGCAAGGACGTAGAAAGTAAGAGTTCAACACACCATCGAAATAGATCTACAAGACTACATGTACCAGTCTGTGGATTTCAGCAAACAGTTAATACCAAGTGTAGTACATAATCATACATAGAGGTGATGTACCCTCGGTTGATACCCACCTAGCGTGTGATTCCAACATGCAAAGCGTGAACGCACTGAACGGACAAGCTCATGCAGTAGCTGAACATTGTGAATTCCGTGCAGGCGAAGGTGGGAAACAGGGTGCTTCACACTCGTGCAGCCCTTTCCCAAAGGTGCTCGCCCTTTTTGGCCCTTTTTGGAAAAGCCCGTTTCTTTCGCCCTTTATCGCGTTTTTCGCCTTCAACCAGCCCTGCTCTGGCTTGCACCTGCGGAGTGCCCCAAGGCTCTGTTCTCGGCCCTGTCCTATTCAGTATATACCCACGAGATGTCCCTTTGGTTTCCTCGCCTGTGCCAAGTGTACAATTTGCAGATGACATAGCCCTGTACGACTCCCAGGCCTCAGCGGCGGAAGCGTCCAGAACCCTCACCACAGCGGCAACTGCTCTGGCCGATTGGCTGAAGTCTCGAGGCCTCATCTTGAACGCCGCCAAGACGGCCAGGTTCTGACTATCTCTCCCCAGCAGCACGTACAGGAAGTAACAGTCAAAAGTGGCGACTGTCTCCTCCCTTCAGCGTCTTCTGCGCGCTACCTCGGCGTTCACCTTTACAATCGCCTAGATTGGGACACCCATGTAAACTATGTGGTCACCAAGGTTGCCAAGAAAATTGGCGTCCTGTGGCGGGCACGCCGAAGCCTATCAAGACGCTCTCGTCAGGTGTATGTGAAGGCGGTCATAATGCCCGACCTGCTTTATGGCTCCTGCTGCTTTTTAGCCGCAATGCGAGAAGGTCAACTGAAACGACTGCAAACCGCGCAAAGCAGAGCCATCCGCTGTATCGATGGCAACCCGCCCCGGACAGCCATGCAGCCGCTGTTCACTGCTCACTCCCTGTACCATGTCAGCGAGCTATACAGGCAGAAAATATTGATCACCATCTGGCGGTGCATTCACGCCCGCACCAGCCCCGTGCTCGCCCAGCTTCTGACCCCGGCACAAGGCACCCCTACCCGCCATCAGCAGTCAAATGGCCTACTAAGCCAGGCAAACCGTAGCCGCCGCGGTCAGCGGAGATTTTCTGTTGCTGGTGCTCTGCTGTGGAACGCTCTCCCTGGTGAAGTCCGCACAATTACCCTCTACCTGAGTTTAAGCGTGCATGTG